CGTGTGCTCACTGGTTGTGTCTGGTATTCTGTGCCATAGCCGGAGACGTACCGAAGCACTTGGCAGACGGATGAACTATTATTCAACTGTTCCAGCATCTGAAACCACAAACTGACATTTTAACATTTCTGTATACAGGTCAAACACACAATACACACAGCTTTTGTCTCGTTTTAACTTTGGACAGAGTCAGGCTAGCTGTTTCCCTTCACTTCCAGTCTGTATGCTAAGCTAGGCTAACCAAATCTTGACTCCATCTAAACATGTCAGTCTGTAAAAGTAAATACACATCTTTGAAAAAAAAATGCTGAAATATTTCTTTAAGATTAGTGGAATTAAAAAAAATCAACAGACACAACAACCGCAAATCAACACCTACACACAGTCATTACCACATCTTCGTTTTCTCTTCTCTTTCATAACGATTCATGCAAAACAGTTCCTGGACGTTCCTGTAGATTCAGGCAGTTAGATTTCCTACATCAAAACGTTTTGGGATCGCCACGCAAAACCGGAGGTGGAGGAAGACATTCTTCTTGCTGTGACTTGAGACAAGTTTTTCCCACAGTGTTGTCTCCACTCACTATAGTCTCTTTAAGGCCTGTGGGTAGTACTTTGAGGAAGATCCTGTGGGCAATCTCATAGGTGTCTCCTGAGGCTTGGTCGGGTACTTCCTGCCGTTGTAAACGAATCCCTTTTCTACCTGAAAAGCCGCCTGGTTGAAGGTGTCCTGCTTGAATGGTTGTCCGCTGTTCAGACACCCACTAGCATGTTGACAAACAGCCCCCAGCGCTGGGCGTAGTAGTCCTCCATGAGGCCCCCCCACTCTTTACTGGCGTAGTCCAGGATCTCACCACTGGGGCCCCACAATGTGAGCTGGTTCCTGGCGTTCATGTCATAGAGCTGCGCCTCTTTCTCATCCAGGCCTAAGGATCTTGCCCGCTCCAGCCATGTCCCCAACAGGAAGTTGCGGTCGCTATTCAGCAAACGGTTGAGCTCAGGCAGGATGTCATAGACCAGCACGCCGCCTGCAACCAGCAGCTCCGGCAGTTTCTGCGCTGCTGGAAGGCGTCTGCGATATCCTGGTAGAAAGATGTCGTTAGGACTTGCAGGACCTGCCGAGTCACATCCACAAGGTCGTACCGGAAGGTCTCCTTGGACATGAGGACGGAGCCGCCTCTATAATCAGTTTCCAGGCTTTTATACAAGTCAGCCGGGTCATACCAACGGCCGCCATTCATGTGGAAGGAAGGCCTGCGCACCAGCGGGCTGTGGTTGTTGTTTCGGTAATGTGGCACGGTGCAGTTATAGACACTGGCGAACAGGAGCACCCACGCAGCCGTTAGGTTCTCTTGTGTGCTGCCGTAACGCCGTATGGCGTACAGTGACGCCCACTGGACAAGTTGACCGGCTCTTTGCGCCAAGCCAGCTCGCTCATCAACTCGTACATCACAGGGTTTGCTCAATGCCCTCAGGTGTCATGCCTATGCCCACCATGGTGGAGTTTGGGAAATTCAAGGCTTTGAAGGCCCAGAGTTGATGCTCTCCACTGTGCCAAAGAAACCACTGTTCCCACCAAAGTTGTTCAGCATGCACCAGATAAACGGCTGTCCATAGAAAGACTCGGTGTAGGAGAGATTGGCTCGGTCTCTGCAAACAGGTCCAGCACGATCATTCGTCCAAGGGGCACCCCGTGTAGTAGGCCTGGATCTGGTTTGGTTTCCAGAACGCTGCACACTGAAGAACAGCCAGCCCTGCATCAGCCAAATGCCTGAGGATCAACTGGGGAGAAAAAATGAGATTGATGAGGGACAAGAAGGGGACAGTTCTCAAACATGGCTGAAAATCAGGGGAGAGCTTGGGGGGGGGGGCTGTTGGACAACAGGTCATCTATGGGTCAGCAAACTAGGGCAATTACTGTACTTGTATCCCAAAATATCAGCACTCAGCGAGCTCACAGGGACCGTCAGGTTTAGAGCTCACACAGTGTGAAACAGGATGTTCGTCCTGCAGACACTCACCTGCAGTCATCGAGGCAAAGACAGAGCGACTGACAGCAGACAGGTAGGCGAGGCAGAGAAGGAGGGGTCATCTCATTGAAGGTGGTCAGTGTTGTAGATGTGAATCTGTCCCCAAACTGCCACATCCTGGGACAGATAGAGGGAGCCAATCTGGAGGAAGAGTGGATCCCGAGGGTCTAAGATGTAGGAGCATTGAGAAGCTGCAGTTGAACTGGAGCCCAAGGCCCCAGTCTGGTCACATTCGCTGCAGGATACAACCTGAAACACACGAGGAAACACTTGAGTGAGTTCTGAATGTGAACGGACGGGGTGTCTGAAAGCATCGGAACACAGACACAGAGGTGTCTGGTAGACGTCAGACTTTGTTTTATTAGAAACTTCCTTAATGCTGCAGAATACTTTTGTACAAAACGATGTCTGACCACACCTGTGCTCAAACAAACTAGAAATGTCACCATCCCGCCAGCCAAGTTGCAGTAAATGTGCGTTCATAACCTCTGCTTCCTGAAGTTACAGTGTGAATAATGGCCAGAGGTGTTTTTGCAGAACGTCTATGATGTCACAGTGAACCTTGACCTTGATTCATTTGAATATAAAACTGTTAGGTCCGTCATAACATTTTGAGTTATTAAACTGATACATATCTTGCGTACTATAGACTGTTGACGACGTGCCCAGGTAAAGTGTTGCAAATTAAATCTTCCCTCAGGGTCTGTTCCTGATTATTGCATTCATTAGAACATGAGATCACTGTGACCTTGACCTTTGACCTTTCACCACTAGAATCTAGCCACTTCATCCTTGAGTGCAAGTGAAATGTTTGTGCCAAATTAGAAGAAATTCCCTCAAGGCGTTATTGAGGATAATGCATTCACAAGGCCAAACTGCATTTGTGAGGTAACTGCGACCTTGGACCTTTGACCACCAAAATCTCATCAGTTCATCTTTTGAGTCCAAGTGAACATTTGCCAAATTAGAAGAAGTTCCACTACACGTGTGTTACTGACATCATGTTCATGAGAAGAGGACAGAGGGACGGACAAGCTACGTAACGCCTCCGGCTCTGAGGCGGTGAAAACAGAAACAAAGCAAGTTTGTGTTGAAGCATGCTGGACACCTGCAAACACTTATTTGGGACCTAATGTATTATACTTATTACCTACTAGTGAAACACTGTTTAAATATATGACACACCTATAAACTGCTAAATGCAGTATCCGCATTCTTATAATATACGATCATCTCCCTGGGATTGGCTGTATCCCTGCTTATCCTTGAGGGTCGCAGAGCCCCCCCCCCCCCACCCGAAACACTCTAGGACAGTGGTTCCCAACCTGTGGTGGACCACGAATCATTTGTAAAACAGTACAGTTTTGGTGAAAAGATGTACTTTTATACGAAAAAAATGATTATTAAGGCCGATCACTGTGATAAGGCAATGATAGAAACTTTTATGTTGTTGCTGCCAGATCACATCACATACTTGTTTGCTATCAGTCTGATTGTGCGCTAAAAGATGAAATCCATGGAAAAACTTGGAGAATCAAAATGGATAGCTGGTTAGCAGCGGGAAGAATTACGAGACAGATGGTAAACCGACAAGTATGGTTTGGGGTCGGATGTGGGGCGCCAACATTTTTGAGAATTCAAGTGGGCTGTGGGTTGGAAAAGGTTGGGAAGGGCTGCTCTAGGATAAGCAGGCATACAGGCTGATGGATGGATAGATGAACTGAAATGTAAAAATTCTAATTTTTTTGTGGTTTCAGGGGGGAGTTTGACACTCAAACTATCTTTCTGTGAACAACAGCCAGGCACAGTGACTGTGTGCAGCTTCCTGAAGTCAGCATTGTGCCTGTGGAGACACCAAAAGCCACATGTGTGCTCACTGGTTGTGTCTGGTATTCTGTGCCATAGCCGGAGACGTACCGAAGCACTTGGCAGACGGATGAACTATTATTCAACTGTTCCAGCATCTGAAACCACAAACTGACATTTTAACATTTCTGTATACAGGTCAAACACACAATACACACAGCTTTCGTCTCGTTTTAACTTTGGACAGAGTCAGGCTAGCTGTTTCCCTTCACTTCCAGTCTGTATGCTAAGCTAGGCTAACCAAATCTTGACTCCATCTAAACATGTCAGTCTGTAAAAGTAAATACACATCTTTGAAAAAAAATGCTGAAATATTTCTTTAAGATTAGTGGAATTAAAAAAAATCAACAGACACACAACCGCAAATCAACACCTACACACAGTCATTACCACATCTTCGTTTTCTCTTCTCTTTCATAACGATTCATGCAAAACAGTTCCTGGACGTTCCTGTAGATTCAGGCAGTTAGATTTCCTACATCAAAACGTTTTGGGATCGCCACGCAAAACCGGAGGTGGAGGAAGACATTCTTCTTGCTGTGACTTGAGACAAGTTTTTCCCACAGTGTTGTCTCCACTCACTATAGTCTCTTTAAGGCCTGTGGGTAGTACTTGAGGAAGATCCTGTGGGCAATCTCATAGGTGTCTCCCTGAGGCTTGGTCGGGTACTTCCTGCCGTTGTAAACGAATCCCTTTTCTACCTGAAAAGCCGCCTGGTTGAAGGTGTCCTGCTTGAATGGTTGTCCGCTGTTCAGACACTCCACTAGCATGTTGACAAACAGCCCCCAGCGCTGGGCGTAGTAGTCCTCCATGAGGCCCCCCCACTCTTTACTGGCGTAGTCCAGGATCTCACCACTGGGGCCCCACAATGTGAGCTGGTTCCTGGCGTTCATGTCATAGAGCTGCGCCTCTTTCTCATCCAGGCCTAAGGATCTTGCCCGCTCCAGCCATGTCCCCAACAGGAAGTTGCGGTCGCTATTCAGCAAACGGTTGAGCTCAGGCAGGATGTCATAGACCAGCACGCCGCCTGCAACCAGCAGCTCCGGCAGTTTCTGCTGCTGGAAGGCGTCTGCGATATCCTGGTAGAAAGATGTCGTTAGGACTTGCAGGACCTGCCGAGTCACATCCACAAGGTCGTACCGGAAGGTCTCCTTGGACATGAGGGACGGAGCCGCCTCTATAATCAGTTTCCAGGCTTTATACAAGTCAGCCGGGTCATACCAACGGCCGCCATTCATGTGGAAGGAAGGCCTGCGCACCAGCGGGCTGTGGTTGTGGTTTCGGTAATGTGGCACGGTGCAGTTATAGACACTGGCGAACAGGAGCACCCACGCAGCCGTTAGGTTCTCTTGTGTGCTGCCGTAACGCCGTATGGCGTACAGTGACGCCCACTTGGACAAGTTGACCGGCTCTTTGCGCCAAGCCAGCTCGCTCATCAACTCGTACATCACAGGGTTTTGCTCAATGCCCTCAGGTGTCATGCCTATGCCCACCATGGTGGAGTTTGGGAAATTCAAGGCTTTGAAGGGCCCAGAGTTGATGCTCTCCACTGTGCCAAAGAAACCACTGTTCCCACCAAAGTTGTTCAGCATGCACCAGATAAACGGCTGTCCATAGAAAGACTCGGTGTAGGAGAAGATTGGCTCGGTCTCTGCAAACAGGTCCAGCACGATCATTCGTCCAAGGGGCACCCCGTGTAGTAGGGCCTGGATCTGGTTTGGTTTCCAGAACGCTGCATCACTGAAGAACAGCCAGCCCTGCATCAGCCAAATTGCCTGAGGATCAACTGGGGAGAAAAAATGAGATTTGGATGAGGGACAAGAAGGGGACAGTTCTCAAACATGGCTGAAAATCAGGGGAGAGCTTGGGGGGGGGGCTGTTGGACAACAGGTCATCTATGGGTCAGCAAACTAGGGCAATTACTGTACTTGTATCCCAAAATATCAGCACTCAGCGAGCTCACAGGGACCGTCAGGTTTAGAGCTCACAGTGTGAACAGGATGTTCGTCCTGCAGACACTCACCTGCAGTCATCGAGGCAAAGACAGAGCGACTGACAGCAGACAGGTAGGCAGGGTCAGAGGAAGGAGGGGTCATCTCATTGAAGGTGTCAGTGTTGTAGATGTGATCTGTCCCAAACTGCTTCACCACCTGGGACAGATAGAGGGAGCCAATCTGGAGGAAGAGTGGATCCCGAGGGTCTAAGATGTAGGAGCATGAGAAGCTGCAGTTGAACTGAGCCCAAGGCCCCAGTCTGGTCACATTCGCTGCAGGATACAACCTGAAACACAGGAAACACTTGAGTGAGTTCTGAATGTGAACGGACGGGGTGTCTGAAAGGCATCGGGGAACCGAGACACAGAGGTGTCTGGTAGACGTCAAACTTTGTTTTATTAGAAACTTCCTTAATGCTGCAGAATACTTTTGTACAAAACGATGTCTGACCACACCTGTGCTTCTCCAATACAACTAGAAATGTCACCTCCACCAGCCAGCCAAGTTGCAGTAAATGTGGTCATAACCTCTCCTTCCTGAGTTACAGTGTTGAATAATGGCCAAAGGTGTTTTTGCAGAACGTTATGATGTCACAGTGAACTTGACCTTTGATCATTTGAATATAAAATTTGGTCCGTATAGACATTTGAGTTAAACTGTGTCATAAGTAGTGTATGAATTTGTGAGGTCACAGTGTGAAATTAAATTCCCTCAGGGTGTTCCTGATATATTGCATTCATTAGAACATGAGATCACTGTGACCTTGACCTTTGACCTTTCACCACTAGAATCTAGCCACTTCATCCTTGAGTGCAAGTGAATGTTTGTGCCAAATTAGAAGAAATTCCCTCAAGGCGTTATTGAGATAATGCATTCACAAGGCCAAACTGCATTTTGTGAGGTAACTGCGACCTTGACCTTTGACCACCAAAATCTCATCAGTTCATCTTTGAGTCCAAGTGAACATTTGCCAAATTAGAAGAAGTTCCATCAGTGTGTTACTGACATCATGTTCATGAGAAGAGGACAGAGGGACGGACAAGCTACGTAACGCCTCCGGCTCTGAGGCGGTGAAATACAGAAACAAAGCAGTTTGTGTGAAGCATGCTGACACCTGCAGAACACTTATGGGACCATTAATGTATTTATCTTATTACCTACTAGTGAAACACTGTTTAAATATATGACACAATATAACTGTAAATGAGTATATGAGGGACAGTGGTGAACAGTAACTAATTACATATATTTACATACAAGTTTATACTTTATGCTACTTTATGCCACTACAATTCAGAGGCAAATACTGCACTTATTAATGCCCTACATTTATCTGACAGCTGTGATTACAACACATGATGACTTCAAATTAAATATGATGCACTGTTTTAAATCAAAGGTCTATTATTTACACTGTTTCCTGTGTGTCCTTATTTGAAGTGTTGATCCATAAGAAGATATATTTGTGGTTTTAAGAAGCAAAAACCATCTCAGTGTAGTTTTACATCTCCTCTCTCAGGCTTCTCTCTGGAGGTCTAGTAACAGCAGGTCAGTGAGCCAATCAGAAGAGAGGAGGCTGTGAGTCTCTGAAATGTATAACTGTGAAAAGCACAACCATCAATGCATCACCTGAGGATTCCTTTGGGAATGTTCCCGGAGAAGGCCGGCAGCACAGGAATCATACCGAACGCCCTCATTCGCTCCAAGATTTTAAACTGCAAACAGAGAAGAAATGTGACGTGAGGGGGATTCAAACCAACAACGTTAAAATTTTACATAAATGTGATTTCAGCCACAAAAACCGTCATTTAAAAAAAAAAAAGCCCTTAAACAACAATTCTGCTTTTTGACAACTTGGTTCTTATTGTTGCAGTTTTGGTCGTTCCTGGTGTGAAAGGGCAAGAAAGACGAGATAGAGAGAGTCGGACGATCAGGCTTGTAGAGAACACAAAGGGGAACAGTAACACTGTGACTCAAACTGTCTGTTGTAATCATCCATTACAGTTTACAGAGCGACTTCCTGCTGCCTACGGTCCTCGTGCAGTGTTTCAGGGGATCTGGCTGGCCCTGGGGCCTGCAGTGGATGAAGTGCTGACACATTTTAGTTTTACTACACTATAAAAATACTCCACTACAAGTCCTGGATATTAAGTGCGCAGCAGTTTAATGTTGTAGTTGTCGGAGGAAAAGACTGGTCTCAGCTAGAAATGACCAATCCACTTTAAATACAGCTTCTTCATCTTGTTTCTATTGGTTACATTCATGCAGAAACAGCTGGCAGCAGACATAATACTTAGTATTTTTAGTTTATTTATTCTTAGTATTTTACAAGTAGAAAGCAGCGTTAAATGGAAATACTCAAGTAAATTACAAGTACTTCAAATTTGTATTTAATTACAGTCCTTGAGTAAATATATTTAAATACATTCAACCACTGCCTGAAGGTTTTCAGCATTTAGTTTGGTGAGTACAGTGTTTTCATAAGCAACAGGAGTGGCTGCAAAACTGCAACCCCCCCCCCATGCAGGAACACCTGTGTTTGTTTTATATATTGTCTTGTCTGTTATGATACTGGCCTCAGCAGAATGGATTTCCCTTAGAGGACAGTAAAGAACATTTATCTAAAATAACTTGTGATAAACTGTAATTAAATTTAGGAAATCAGATTACTGTGGAAAAAAAAGACAATCCAGGTGAAGACAGGTGCAGTCCATATGCTGCTTTCAAGGTATTCATTCTCATTGTCAGTGTTTCACACGACCACGAGAAAGAAATGTTCTGATTTTGCACATAGTGGCTTTAAACTGTGTTGACGAGTGTGGAGGTTTCCGTACTTGGAGGTAGAGCTGGGTCACGTGCCAGGACTGCGGCAGAGGCCCGCCAAACTTGAACATGTTTCCCATGCGGTTCCAAGCCAGAAACGCCGGGCCAGAGAAGAACTCCTCAATCTCCGACTGGTTCAACCCGAGGGCACGGTAAACCTGAAAAGGAGTTGATGTTCACACGCTGCTGCACATCATCAAGGTGTGTATCGTGGATCTGCTTCAAGACACCTGATCGGATATCTAGCAAGTCTCTGCCAAACATGATGGTTTTATACACAGATACTACGATATACGTTTAACTGTGTTCGAATGCGGGTTGTGTGAAGACTGTAATGAGTTTCAGGTTGACAGGTTCGCTCTCACCTCTTGCCACAGGGCTTCTTGGCCAGTGAAAGCCAGGGGCAGGTTGATCCCGTTGAGTGCCATCCAGTCGATCTCTCTCTCCCATCTCGGCCAGTCCCACCACACAGAGGAGTAGCTAAACGTGCAGACGTTCTGGTAATACCGGAATCTAGACACAAACACACAAATATACTCTTCATTTTTAAAGTGATAAGTCTTCACAGGGACATACAGGACGTTTTCAAGGGAGATAAAACAGGTATGCAAAGTAAAAAATGAAGCTACAAGATAACAAAGATGAACTAAATGATAAAAAGGCCTTGTTAGCATTGAGCAGCTGTGACAAGTCAAGTATACCATTACATACATTTAGTGCAGGTATTCTCCTTTACATTTTGTCACTGTGGCACCTAGACCCTGTTTGTGCCTCTCATGTATTATCACAGACTTTATCACAGTTAGTTCCGACCAAGGAACTTGATTGGACGAGAGTCATTCCATGAGTGCTGATATAGAGTACAACAGCACTGGGACTTTTAACTACATGTATCACTCCGCTTCACAGGTGTTCTATTAACCGTTAATTAGCGTCACATTAACGGCCGTTAACTATCTTAGATTGTAACAAACTTTACAAAGATGAAAATATTTCCAGAAATAACATTTGAATTCGATGATGTCTGATCGTCAGGAGAGGATGAAGGAAGAAGTCTGGATACTTCAGCTCACACCTGAGGTAACGTGTAGACAGAGTAGCAAGCTAGTGTGCACTGTGCAGGTCAGGAAAATGTTGCTTAGCAACAGTCCAGTACCAGTTCAGTTACTATTTGTGTTGGTGTAGCCAAATAAATGATGAAATAAACAAACAAACATAATCTGTGGTTGCTTATCTAACTAACATGTATAAGAGCACCGTGCTTTTGTGTGTGATGTTGCTTAATTAGGTTGCAGAGCAAAGCATTTAAAGCTGTGGTGATATTTTAAAATCTATTTCATGAGTTCCATAATTTCAAACCTTTTTGACTATTTATCACTCAGTTTCCTAATCCACATTAAAACACTATCCTAAATGAATTAGTCATTGCTATAAGCATTTAATACATTACAAAAATATTTTTTCAAGAGTTTTATCGTCAGGTACAGTGCATTTATCAATAATGATAGTCTCCCTAATTTTACATTTTCATATATTGTAATGAATTCATATCTTTTCATAGTGCAAAGGTGGCAAATGGTACTGTATGTCCCTTCAGGCCACCATCTTTATTTAGATTAAGAAATTATTTGGAAAACAGGTTAAAAATCTTTTATTAAGAACCATATTTGTGGTCAAATAGTTAAGATGCACACTATTATAACTCCAACTGGGTTCCACTTCTGACTGGGGACCTTTGTTGCATGTTACACCCCCTTGTAATAACTAATGGCTGACACATTTTCAATAAATTCAGGTTGTTTAACCTCTGACTTGCAGACGTCCTGCACTCAAAATATATTGTCCTTAGCTTATTTATTCATATGTGGTACTTTGTGCATTTTAAAATGTTCTTATGCATAAGGTTTTATTATTGATGTGTTGTGTTGAACGTTTTCGTGTCTGTCCCGTTGTACTCTGAGCACACGAGTGGTGTGTCGACAGGAGAAGCAAGGGAAGGAGTGCTTCAGCACTTAAAGCTAAAGACAGACGTCACTCAGAAAGATACTGAAGTGGAAGTGATGTCTCTCCTGACATCTGATCTCAGAACAGCGTCCTGCTCCATTAAGGATCTGATGAAATTGTGGCAGCAGGCTGTTGTCTCTGAAGCCAGCTTGACTTCCAGCCGTTCCATCTGTTCTTTCTGTCATTTTCACGTGTGTGATTGCGTCACATTGACAAAGGCTGCGGCTTGTCAAACCGAGGGGGGAGCAGCATATTTTGGACACACTTGGACAGGTGACTAGCTGGACAACAGACAACTGTACTTGTCAGGCTGTCCTTGACTCAGCTCCCACCGTTCTGGGATTGGTTGTGATATTGCACCCATTATTATACACATGCACAGTGTGTATTTGCACATTACAAAAATTACTTCTACTTTCTTCTTAAGCGTTAAGAAGCAGTGGCAGAAAGTAAATTAGCAAATTACACAGTACTACTCAGAGTCTATTTCTAAATAATCATAAATGATCAAAGCTTCGAACCGGCTAAGAGTTGCCCTCCAACACTAAGTTATAGTCCTGGGAAAACCAAACTGTGCCATGTGTGCCTTGGCTTTTTCAATCTAACTACTGTGCACATGACATAACTGGGGTGAGCTGATGCGGGTCTAATGCACAACAGATAATTGAAAGGAAGGGTCCTTCAAAGGGCCCGGCCATGGTACAAGTGTCCATAGTGCTCACAGTAAACAATGAAAAGTAATGTGTGACAACGCTCCATTTGTCATGCACCCATGGGTTTTGTTGTGCTGTGTAGCAGAGGAGGGGGCTGAGGGTTACTTGCCCCCCCAAAATCATAGAATTCAAACACATACACATACCATGGCAGTCTTCTTCATAAAGTTTGATCGTTATGTCATAAAAATACTTAGTGTCTCATTTGCAGGGCAGTGTGGGAAACCCAGATCTTTAGATGATCTTAGCTGCTGATAAAACACATGAACTATGTCAGCGGCTCTTCAACTTTCAGGACAAGTGATCAGTCAATAGCTGTGATTTCAACAGAGGTGGTTCCTCTATCTGGTGATGTTCTGCTTCTGCTAATGTGAGTAGACACACACACACACACACTCTGGTACGTCAGCTGCAGCAGTGTGGAATCGACTCGGTGGGAAAACATTTTCAAAGATGCCGTTTTGCTGATGTCAGTAAAATTTGCATCGTCAATGGACTGTACAGGGCGAACACACAGGCCATAGAGACTTCGTTTACACCAGTCTTCATTTGTCTTTGACCACCATGAGCATACCATTGAGTCTGGCATGTCATTATGTTTTCATAGCTCATGTAGGTAATATTTTGACGGCTTATTAGCTTCCCTCTCTTCAACTAAACTCTTCCATATGCAAAAACACTAAATTACTAATAAATTATCACCTTATTTATCATCACTCCTGTGCCCGAGACATTCCACCTTTAATACACGTCCTCAGGACTGGATGATGTCACATGTTCCAGCAGTAAATACTAATCTTGGCAGGACAGCCTTCAGATATCACACCCCATGTGTGTGGAATAACTTGCACAACAGACTGAATTTCGACACAATGATACCAATAAGCCAAGTCTGACGGATTTAGAGTTTAATTGTTTTACTTATTTTCTTTTCTAATCTGCAGTTATGAGCGTTAATGTCGCCATCTTATTGTCTACCTGCTTGTGCATGTTAATGCATATTTAAAAGCATTCAAATGTACACTCTGATCACTGTTTATATACACACATGTCCACTTGTTTGTATGAATACATACAGTATCTGATGTGTGTTTAAATCGCTGTAAATTTGTATATTTGCTATAATTATTTCTTTTTGTTATTTCTTTTATTTTTCTGTTCTCAGGTCTCACTTGTAAATGAGATCTTGATCTCAATGTGACTTCCTGATTAAATTAAGTGCACACATTCACACATATACATATATATGTATATCTATATATACATACATACATACATACATACATATAAAATATAATATGTATAATAAGTTCTGTATGAAATAATCAAATTATTAGCACATATTATAATGTTATATCTTGTCTAAGTGAAGCTAATTTTTAAACTACTTTATATAGTGTCGGTTAGTTTGGTTAGTTTAAGCCAGTGGTTCTCAAACTTTTTCACGTCAAAGACCCTAAACTGACACAAATTAGACCACGGACCGCCATCTGACAAGATTTTTGCTTTTGAATGTTTTGTTACAGAAAGTGTTTGAAACTCAAATAGTCACACACTCTGTCATTGTGTTACTTATTAATGGATTATTACTGAAAATAAATTATTTCTCTTTTTCTGGGGACACCCTCACAGACCCCTGGGGGTCCCCGGATCCCATTTTTGGAACCACTGGTTTAATCTATGTAAAATCTTGACCTGGTTAGTAATTAGTAATGTTAACTAAGAATAAAAATCAAGGCAGTATATAATGGAAATAAACTGTACTTGAGTAGAAGTGTAAATAATAATAATAATAATAATAATAATAATAGAAAAACAATGTTACAATTGTCTAATGGTTAGTTTTAGCTGCCGTTCATTGCTGAGTAAACCCACTGTCCTGGAGAAAGGGTTCTGCTCAGTGTAAATGTAAGAAGAACCAAAGAGCTGCTGACACCAAACTCTTGAAACCGTGGACATCTCTGTTATTCATCAACACCGCGGGTCACTGACCTGTGCGGGGTGTTGATGCGCAGGACGCCGGTGAGCTTTGGCAGAGGACGGGGCAGATCCAGCTGATCACCAGACCAGGAAACATGGCAGTTGCAGAAATATTTCATATAGTTGTAGATGCCAGAAGCCAGGGCCACCCCGCTGCTGCCCGTGGCCACGATCTTGTTGTTCTTCGTGGACCTGAGCTCGCACACATCCAGGCTGTCGTTGGAAAGGCTCCTGTTGACTGACACGATGAACTCCGTGGATCTGTTCCCGAGCAGGCGTTTGAGCAGCTCGACCACCGCTCTGCCCTGCGCCTTGTCGCTGGCTTTGGGTTTGATGTGGTCCAGAGTGGGAAACTTACAGTGTGCAGTCATGAAGAGACAGAGCACGACGACCAGCACCAGGCTGCGGCCGCTTCTGGGTGACATGCTGATCCCGCTTCGGCAGAGCCAGGCTTTCCCACCGTGGCACAGGTTTAAAAATAAGTCTATTTCTCCAATTGCAGAGAACCAGGAAGCGTTGTTTTACTGAAAGTCTGCTGGCCAATCAGAGCGCGGAGTGCTGCCTCGAGCACCACTCACAGCCAATCAGTGTCTGTAGAAGTATATTTCAGTGAGAGGCCGCTGCTCGTCGTGTGGTGAAGCTGTCATGTGATAGTAATATTACAGGGGTGGCCTGATTCCAGGTGTAGTCATGTGATCATGTAGAAAGCACGAGGTCAAGAGCTAACATTTAACAGCTGACAGCTCGCTACAGAGACAAGACTCAAAAGAGAACCAGGACTAGTGGGTCATGGTTGTAAACTCTTATTTTTGAAAGTTTACTGTACATACAGTAAAGAAGGAGGAAAGTCCATCACCATCCATGTTTACTGCATGCGTACTTTTATAAGTGTCTTTATGTGAAATTGTGCTTTTCACTTACCTTTGTCCTTTTTTCCGTTTGCCCTTCTGACGTTTTACTGTTTGTAAGTGCTGAATCCAGACATTCAACGCTGTATTGCTTGCAGTACTTCAACGAGGCACTACTGCAACTGTTACTGAGTTGTAAATATTTTTTGGATGAAAACATAAAATGCCTTAATTATAAAGAGTAAACATTTCTAGAGCTACATGCTCTGAACACTGTGTTTTCCTTTTTTTATGCGTGTCATAAATGCGCAGTAGTGTTTGATTGGCTTTGTGTATGATCTAAAAACGGTTTGATTCTGAGCACAAATTAAACTGTTTTGAGGTGATTGTTTGATATTGCAAGACAAGTCAGAGGTTATTGGTGAATGCAGGTGGATAGCTGGGTTTTCTGTTTACAGTTGAGAAAAGCATAGACGGTTTCAAGAAATGTGTTTTAGCAATTGTGAAAGACTAATCTCAAAAGTGAATAAAGTTGGCAGCCAAACTATGAACTAAGACAGATTCTATTTGTTTGTTAAGCGTTAATTTGTAAGATTTAACAATTATATCAGATTCATACACTGAGAAATAAACAATAAGACTGAAAATAGGCATTATGCCCAGAGAACTGTGTTTGAGGTTGTGTGGAGCTGATTGGCTGCTGACCTGCTGCAGCTGCAAATTGCAAACCTTCTTCACAAGACTTCTGCTCAACAAGGACAAAACACCAGACTAATGTTACATCTACAGATGCTCACTCTGCCTGTGGTAGAATGTAATGAAGTACATTTACTGTTACTGTACTTTGCTTTTATACTTGGTGCATTTGGTGATAATACCGCTGTAGTTTCAGAAAAAACAAATGCAGGACTTTTACATGTAATTGAGAATTTTTACATTGTTTTACTTTATTTAAAATAGCAATATCATAATTAAAGAATCAGAATAATTTCACCATTCATCAACACATTTGTAGTGAGTAAAGACTCAGTTTCTGAATAAAGGCTGTGTGCATTTCTCTGTGGACTGAGGCTTTGATACTTTCACAGTATTAATATAGAACCTAGACCTGATTTATAATCAAACAACACATGGACATCTACCTTTAGACTATATGGGACCTTAAAAGACCATAATCTCTTCATGCTGTGTTTATTTAGGATTTGACCCTGAAATCAGTTCAAAGGTTGTTTCTGTCCTCTGATATAATCTTGGCTGTTAAACAATTAAAACAAAAGAAATACTGAAACTATGTCAATCTCCTCACCTGATAATCTGACTGAAAAGTATTTAGTTTCAACTTTTTCATTCACATGAACATTATAACATAATAACACATCAGATATCTGATGTTTGATATGGGCAGTAATCCAATGAATGTCCTGCATTTCTATAGATTTATAACAAATATGATTCAAATCTTTTCCATAATAATGGCAGACCCTGCCCCCCCCACCCCTGGCTCTGTGTTTGTGGAGAAGAGTGACTTGGATAAACTTGCTATCATGGTTGGGATGGTTGAATAGAACAGAGTCATTGCTACCGTTTCCTACTGTGACAAGTCAAAATGTCTGCAGATAAAAAGCAGAGCACAAGCTGGTCCTGAGAAGAAGAGAACACAAGAGCAGATGATGAAAATACAGTTTTCAAAAACTTATTTGTCAAATTGCTGAGGTTGGAAGCTTTAGTATTTTAGAGAAAATCCAGGCCAAAAAAATGCAAAATAAAACTTAAAATAATAATCCATGATGATTAAGACAAAACCCTCCATAAATGTCAGCTTCAATACTAAACCTGCCTCGCTGCTGAAGAATCAGGCGAAAAGAGAGAAACAAATTTTCAGTTCTCCTCTACAAAGTTTCCATGCAGGAAGTTAAGATGCAAAATATTACCACAAGAACAAATCATATTAATCATCTGACATTAGTCCTTATCTGTGGCAGTTCCTGTTGATTATCACCCACTTAGTGTTGCTTCCCCACATATATAATGTTTTATATCCTGAGAACAAGCCTTGTGTTGTCAGGATATAAAACTGTGGCAGCATTTTGTGTTTTTAACTCGCTCTTTATTTTTTCAGGAAAATCTCTCTGATCAACCAAAATCCACAAATAAATAATGAGCATCATGGCTGCACATTCAGGCTGGCAGAACTAATGTCTTATATGAAAGTGAGAACTCACTAACCTTCATTAGTGATTCACTATCAACAACAATGACAATAAATACTGAAGTACAAAGCTTTAGTAAATGATACATTATGGAGCCATTAGTCACTACCCTTTTGAAAAGTGCTGTAAAAATGGTTTTCATTTTAGAAATAATGAGGTCATGAATCTCAATGCCCCCCACCGAAAGCAGAAATAAACCCATTATCAAATATATATTTTTTTGTTTTTTATTCCAATTTTGCAGTTTATCTATTCAATTAACTCTTATATTTTTTGCTAATTTTATTTCCAACATGGAGGTCTAAATGCTGTTTCTAAGCTTTCAGAAGTGATAAACTGACCTAAGCTGAGGAATCATATAATCATAAACCAAAGTATGGGACAAATTCAAATGTTGACCTGATGGTGGCGCAAGTTGAAAAGTCAGAGGATCATCAAAGTTGTAACAGTTCATCCTGAAGGGAAAATGAATGTGCACAAAATTTCATGTCAAGCCAACATTTTTCATTCAAAACTAAAATGTGAACCTCATGGTGGTCGCTACAGGAAAAGTCAGGGGATCACCACAGTTAATCTACAATACCATGAATACATGAACAAAGTTTTGTGTCCATTCATTTTGATATAAATGATAAGCAAAAGCTTTTAACTGTTGGTGGTGTTACAGGAAAACTTCATGGTATTGCATCCAATAGTTGTCAAGATAGTTCACTTAAACACTAAATGTCAACCTGCAGGTTGAGGAAAATCAAGGTGATCACCAAAGTGTTTAGGATTCATCCCCTGTGGACCGTAAATGTTTCTACAAAATTTCATGGCAGTCCATCTGATAGATGCTGAGATATTTCAGTCTGGACCAAAGTGGTGGAATGACCAACTGCTACTGTCATCCCTGGAGCCATATAATGATATGATAATGAAATACTGTGCTAAGTACAGATGAATGACAGTAAACCACAATGTAATTCAATTGATTAAAAAAAAAAAAACTTTTATTTCCCAGTCCCAAAACCAAAACATTAAACTTCCAGCAAAAATGTAGCACAATATGGAAGTAAATAAGAAATCCCCAAACAGGCCACAGACTGTACAGAAGCCAGGAAACACATGGCAGCAGCGAAGACACACAAACATTAAGTTGATTCAAGGACAAACAGGAGAAATTCTGCATTATCAAAAACATCAAATAACTGCTGGTGTGAGCAACAAAGTGCTTGTTCGCTTTTCTTGATTTAGTACACATTCAAAGTTTGTGTTTCAATTTTTATTTAACAATCTACGTAAGAGAGGCAAAAGTAGCACAAGGGTTAAAAAAGCATCTCCACTCGAGTAATCGGGTGTTATTTGGTTTATTTGGACTCATCTACCTTTATTTCACAGTGTCTTTTCCTGAGGTTTACTGTATTTACTTTCATTGTGGGTGAAGACTTTTAACATTCCTTGGTTGAGGCTGGTAGTAGTGCAGTGTTAATGACAATGGCTTTAACATGTCCTGTATGGACAGTGCTGTCCCTTAACAATCCACAAGGCACACACAGATCTACAGATCTACTAGCTGTGTCCCAATTCAGGGGCCGCGTACTTCCGTGGTTGCATTTGAAGACTGAATGCGTCACAGCGGCGCAACTAGGTTGTCCCATTTCAAAGGCTCCTTCAAATGTGTCCTCCTTTTCCTGAGATCTAACAGGTGGATCCTTCATGGCCCAACCTATCCCAAGATTCATTGCGCGCTGGACCTTAAAACCTTAAGTTTTTTTGAAAAAAAAGTTGCTTGTTGTCAAGGTTGCTAGGGGACAGCATAGACTGTAAATAAAGATGGACGTAGCCTCTGTGACATCATCCACAGGTTTCTGAAGAGCAGTTTTGAAGCTCAGAGTGAGCTGCTCAACTGACGCCATCTTATCTGACTCCACCCCTAACTCATGGCTAAGCCAAATATGGGCAAAGAGGTGGGGTGTGTGTGGAACCAGTTTGAGACAAGCATAAGCTTAACCACCTGTCACTCAAAGAGGTCCAGCCCTCAATTCTACATAACTTTAAGCCTTAATAAAATGTAAACAGGTGAGTTATATAAACAGGTGTCACGAAGGAGGAAATTAGCTCTAGAGACCTAAACTGTTTTTGTACCAGGCTGTAAACACGTTTATTTCTGCTGTAAAGTTGGACAGTTTAACATGGGAGTCTATGGGGATTGACTCACTGTTGGAACCAGAACCTCTAGTGGTCATTAGAGGAACTGCAGTTTTTAGTTGTTCAATGTTGACTTCATTTTTCAGCCCCGGAGGTTGATGCTTGGGTGACAGGAGCCGTACTTTGCAACGAAACTGTAAGGTAAGCAAAGCGAAAATCCTCTGTAGACCAGACTGTCTCATTTTGGTTCGGCCTTAGCGGCCTACGATGGCTATGAAGGAACTGAACTGGGACACAGCTTCTGTAGCTCCACAGAAAAGACACATTTACTGAAGGATATTTCAGGAAAACTGAGAATCTTTATAAAAAGCTTCCTATGCAGAGTCATCATCATCATCATCATCATCATCATCATCATCATCATCATCATCATCATCATCATCATCATCATAAGGGTGCAGATTTGACAGAATCAAGCTGAGACTGATTCTGGTTTAAGAAGCAATGCTGCAAAAAATGATCTGCACTGATTCATGAGCTGTGGAGGTGCAATGATTATAGTAGTAGATCGACAGGAAATGAATCAAAAACTATTTTGATAATTGATTAATTGTTTAAGTCCCTTTTCATGCAAAAGTGTGTGAAACAATGCAAACATTTTATAGTTCAAGCATCTCAAAAGTCATAGCAAACTGAATATTTTAGCATTTTGGAAAATGGTGACTGTAAAAAACTATGATTTTTCCACTATTTTCTAATCAAACAATTCATCAAAACAATAACTGCCAGATTAATAATGAAAATAATAGTTAGTTGCAGCCCTTAAGAGCTGCTGTCCTGATTATCCTGGCTGAAGACTAAAAGAAGTCATACAAAGTGTGAGGTATGAGTATATCCCAGTGGAGTCCACTGACAGATAACTAAGCTTAGCTTGTAATACAGCACACACCATTTTCACTACATATATTCACACACAAAAGATTCATTCAATGTAAATGCCACAGTCCCACTTCCACAAAGCAATGCTAGATGTTGGAGTTGACTCTTAAAAACTGCAGCATGTCAAGTTTGTGGTCGAGCTGGAGTTGTATATTCAAAATATTCTTTTTTTTTCAGTTTCAGATTTTAGTCGAGTTCAGGTCCAGAAAGGCAAAATGTCAAGCTCACTTTAGGTTTGGACGGACGTGAAGCGCCAGGCATCAGATACAGTACGTTAGAGTTGTGGAACAACACAATGGTCACTTCGGATTATTCTGTTAAAATCATGGTTAATAGTTTTTGTAGTCCTGAAAGAAACATAACACTGACTTACGGTTAAAAGGGAAACTTCTGATTCTAGGGAGGACGATGCAGGGTGTCAGATAGTAGAAAACAAAATTGGTGTGGAGACATACTCACACATTGCTAGAGTAAGTGAAGAGATGAATAAACTCTGCACACGGATTGTTAAACAATGTTTAAACCTCTGGAATCTGACATTTAGAATAAAAGAAGGGAATTAATTATTCTCTACATAAACTTTTTCAGTAATGAAATGCTGTGTTTACTTGTTATATGAGCTGAATGGAGTTCAGACTGAAAACTGGCATCAGAAAAAAAGTAAACATCAGTTTACTGATCTGTTCTCTTGGTTTAACACTCTGTGTACGTGCGTTTTGTTTTCTACCATTTGACATCCTGTGAGAACAGTTGTATAAAGTCTAAATGACCAAAACAAATCTCTAAAATGTTGTACAAACCATTCACCAAGGTTCTTAGCATTTACCAACTACAGACTACAACGTCTGTTTTTAGCAAAGTGAGGTCCAGAAACATGTTCTGACATGTCACATTGGTAAGTGATAATTATTTTACCATCTGACAGATCATATTGTACCAACATTTGTATTTAAAAGTCAATCTGGCAACAAGACTTGTCAAAGTGTTCAAATCAATAATTGGTTATTGACCAAATCACAGCACCTGAGACTGAACATTTTGCTGGATGGCAGTGTAGCACAAGAACCTCAGAGAACAGCTGGAATAGAAGCAATTAATTAAAAATATTATTTAAAAAAACACCAAATTATAGCAGGTACAGATTCAAAATCCCATTTTTCAGTACTTAAAGTCAGACTATGTAACCTTTGAAATGAGAAATGAAACAGTACACGCACCCCAGCTCAGTTCAGTACAATCTGGGTTTTGCTACTGCAGTCTCACTTGGTCTGGTTCGAGCAGTAGCTTATCGTGGCTAATGTTGGCAAACTTAAGATAAACAGTGCTGTGTACCGGACATTACAGAGTCAGCTTGCTCATTTTATGACTTGTGGTCTATGATCATGTTACAGAAAACATTAACACTCAGAGTAAACACACCGAGGCTGTGCCGGTGTCACTAAGCGTCTCATTAGCGTAGCTCAGGTTTAGAACGGGCCCAGCTAAACCAAAACTGCTCACTGAGCTGAACCTGACTGTGCTGTCAAAATAATGATAATAAAGAGAAACACAGTATAATACTGCTGAACATTCATTATTCTCAGAAAATGGTAATTATAGAAATTGGTTTCAGTTTTATGATTTTACCGTTCATTTAATTTCTCTAACTGCTGAAGAAAGAATTATCACTGAAACAACAGTATATTTGATCATCACAAAATAACCCATCACACTATACTATTAATATAAATGACCATCATATAGTTAAACATCTGGACTGTACAATAATAACCATTTCCTTTTTAATTAGAATACATCTATGATTTTGTTTTTTCGTGACACTTACAGCCTCAGGGACTAAACAAAGGCTCAATTGGCACCGTCTGCATTAATTAGTTCATCATTTCTATTCAGACACTAACCCACTTCCTACAGAACCTTTGACTGACCTCTAGTGTTGTTAGATGGTTTCTACAGGACACAGCAGCTGGGTTTAGACTAAAGCGCAGCAGAAGCTGAAACTGCAGCTTCTAAGAGCACAGTGGTAGGGTTGAGGAAACCATTTAATTTTGTGACAGCAAAGCTTAAGCCACAGCTAAGCTAATGTCAAAGCTGCAGCTCTGTTTCTTGATCTTTACTTGTTGTTTTTTGGCAATTCAATTTGCCATCATCCTGTGAATACTTCTGGTTTTCACATTTGCTGATGTTCAGCAAAAGTTACATAGTCTTACTTTAAGACTTACTTGCTTTTTAATAGGAATTTTCTATATAATACTTAATATATATATTCTACAATGGAAAAGAGATTCAAGTTGCCAATGTTAACCAATGTTAGCTGTGTAGAAGGAAATGGAAAGGATTTTAAGAGAAGCTAGTTTGTCTGTTGTGAAATTTTATGTGAACATGTCATGTTGGTGGCTAAAACCTCAACAGGCACATTTGAATGCAAAACTTACATAGAAACTAACTGTAGTTCAACATTTTGTCTCAAACCAGCTCCACATGACCATTCTGAGAAATTCTGAGAAGTGGGAGAGGACATTAACACCAGCCTCTGTCAAATGCAAGGAACACTGACTCTTGAAAACAGGTTTTCTGTCTCTACAGAGACTTGGACGGCTATTCATTACTGGACCTGCTCTCTTCCAAAACTCCTGTGTGCAGCTAAAGCTAGAGATGAATGGTGAATTGTAATGTGGATCTGCCAGAAGGACTGATAAAAACAGGAAATTTCTTGCAGTCTGGGGAGAATTACAGGTATGAGTGTTGCTGTTGGATAAGATGGAGATGACCTGAAGGTGTGCAGCAGGTTCAGGTTCAGATTTCAGGTTCAGGACTGCTGGCTGCTCCACTGGTTGGCCATGGGCCTGCGGAGCAGCTCCTCCACATGACGGGCCACATCCATCGTGTCCTCGAGGTCAAAGTCTCCATCTGCATCCAACATGGTGTCGCTCCTGACAAGACACGAGCAGAGAGAGTTTCAAGAAGGAGGTTCATTGGAAAAAAAGTTGGTAGGACATATTTCATTGTGTCTAGGGCTGGGACGACGCGTCGACGTCATCGATTACGTCGACGCAAAAAATACGTCGACGCAAAAACTGTGCGTCGATGCGTCGTTTGAAAACAAACAATAGCGGCAGCAAGTAGCGGCAGTATCGATACCAGCGAGTCAGTTGACTCTGATCAATGTAGAATAGTGATGGGTCGGTCGCGAACGAGAGCCGGATTAGAGCCGGCTCTTTGAAGTGAACGACGGGAGCCGGCTCCCGATCGAGAGCGATTTTTTTTTTTTTTTAATTGTCTTTTAAAGCCGCATTGGTCAACACGTGTTGCTGTGGCAGCGTCTGTGTGACTACACTGAGCAGGAGGGGGGAGGGGAGGGGTTACAGACACTCGCATTTTGTGTTTTGTTTTTCACTGTACATGGTTGCACATTTTCATTTATATTTTGTTGAGTGATGTTTAGTTGATTTTGTGTTTTTTCACAAATTAAAATGGGTCTTTTTTATTTAAAATTTATTTATGTATATTTTAAGTTATGTTACGTTTATTAATAAAGCCATATACATACTATACATATGTTATATTTTATGTTTTTTTTACATTAGTTATTCATTTTACACATAATTTGGTAATAAATGAATTTAAGTAACAAAAAATCTGAGGAGCCACTTGGGAGCCGAAAGAGCCGGCTCTTTTTAGTGAGCCGAGCCAAAAAGAGGTATTCCCATCATTAATGTAGAACACAAAGTCGTAGTTCAAAGATATGGGACTATTTTTCCGTAAAAGGAGGCCATTCTGTTGTTTGTCGGCTGTGTAAAATGGAGATGGCTTATCATAAAAGCACGACGGCGATGCACAGAACACTGCTGCTGTTTATATTTTATTGATTTTATGATGATAACATTTTCTTGATTCTTGCACAACAAGAAAGTATTTTATTTCATTTTATTTTTTGTTAAACGCTACCTCTGACGTCAGATTGCACTATTGTTTTCATTACTTGAATTTTATTTTGGAATACGGTCATTTTTGGTGAAAACAATAGAAATATGTTGGAATGAAGAAATTTGTGTTTTTTCATTGAGATACATAAATTAGCATATGTAAATTGCTATATAAGTCAAATAATGGGAAAATAATCGATAATCGAATCGAATCGATTCAAATTCGAATTGAAAAAATGAATCGTTAGATTAATCGATGCATCGAAAAAATAATTGCTAGATTAATCGATTACAAAAATAATCGTTTTCCCCAGCCCTAATTGTGTCTAACATTTGTTACAGTTGTTGACTTTAAGACCCTTTCCAGAACTCATATTTTACTTTCTACAGTTCTACTTTCTTCTTTTGTTTCTGTTTGTACAACACTGAGCTGTGTTTGTGGACATATTTACATGAGCAGTTGTTACACAGCTCTTGAAGAAGGATTAGGAACATTTACTCAAACCTGCAATAAGTTTGTGAACAAAACCAACATCCAAATATCATCACCTCTAAAGTTCATTTGACCAACTTTTCAGCAAACAGTTGTTTGTTTCCAGATCTAGCCGTTCAGACAAACATGATCCTTCATGTGTCCAGCTGATGAATCAACCTGAGAAAAAAAAATCTGGCTCTTTAGCTGCTAAATGCTCCACTATGTTCACCAGCTGCTCTCTAACTGTGTCTGTCAGCTGTTTGCTGCTGAGCAGGTAGTGACAGTGGGTTCTTAGAGCTTTTCTCTATCAATAGCTGCCTGCTTGTGGGTGAAAGCACTATGAAAATGGTGAGATTGAAGCTGAAGAGCAAAATTGTCAGCTGGACAGCTAAACAGAGAACTGAAACTCACTATAGGTGAAGTGATGGTCAATATGACAATTTTGACCATTTGTTTTATTAGCTCTCTTCATGACATATGCTTTAGTGATGATTGGATTTTCAACCGCTTAAACTGCATAGAAATATCAACCGAATCATGTGAATTGTAGAAATTTACTTCCTCTGGAGAAAAACAGTAGCGGAGCGTCGTTCCGGTGGCTCCGGCAGCTCCAGGCCTGTGGTTCCACCACAATGTTGCAAGCGGTACAAAATGTAACCCCACTTTTGTGCAAAACATCAGGGAATTGCTTTACTGGGACTTTAACAGTAATGTCTGTTGGTAAATGTGAGACGTTAATGTCACACATGTCTGCAGCTTCACAACATACTTCAAAACCAGAAAAAGGAAGTGAGTTTGGTGACGTGCATCAAGGTTTTGCGCAGGGACTGGTATGATTGGTTCAACTCGTGGGAAACTATGATGATTTTTGAGAAAAATATGCAGACAAGTTGTGGTGACTGGAGGATTGGAGGGGATTGGTTAAATCTGGGTTAATTATTGCGATTGCGACATGGACTAAATAAAGTAAAGGAGTGTGCTTACATGGGTGGGTAAACACCAAAGTTGTTGGGGTGGCTCACAGAGGGAGAAGCTGTCTGGTCCATGAATGTAGGAGTTCCTCCGCTGGGTTCAGGGTTGGGGGTGGTAAACCTACCAGAGACATGTGCCACACATTACTTTATATAGTCATCTATGAGCATTAAACTGACTACAAATTAATTGCTATTTCATTAATTGCGCCTGTGTTTTTTTTTTTTTTTTTACAATTAATCACAACTCTTTGACGTGTTGTGCAGTTACATCACACAGTACCAAGTGGGAGTGGTCTCCAAATTAATTCTACAGCAAAGATAACAAAACATAAAGTCAGTCATATAGAACTATCTTGACAACAGAGACAAGAAACATCTGTCTGTTAGGTGTCTGAGTGGTTTACAGTTCAATCTTAGATGGACAATTGGCCCATCATCTTTCCGGGATACATACACCAAATGCAACTTTACTTTGTGTGTGTGTGTGTGTATGTGAGAACAACTTACTCTGGCACAACTTGTTTGATCTGTGGTTTTACATATCCATCCACTGCTTTTGCTGCAAGAGAGACATAATGCAATGAGTAATGACACCTGTCATACAGGTATTGAGTTTGTTCCACTGGTTTCAGCTTTTAAAAGGCTTGTAAAACTACTACATACAACTATAAACACGAGTTCATCTTTACAAAATATTCTTTATTTCACTGAGGAAGTCATCTTGTTTTCAGATGTGTGTATTTTGTTCATAGCGGTGATGTGTTAATGTAAAGAGAAGTAAGTACTGCTGATACATACAGAGTGGGGGAGTGTAGTACTTCGCAAAAACCTCATCTTTGGGTCGGTCAGGGTAGAGAAACAGGAGGTGGTTCAGGTCACTGATGCGATCAGCCAGGGAGCGAATGGAGAAGTCCTTGGTTGTGTAAGGCAACAGATTCCAGACCAACCTCTCACCTAGCCAAAGACAGGAGCAACCACAGGTTACAATCACAGCGTTTACCAATGCTAGATATATTATCATAGTTGCAGAGATAGAGATGACTTGTGTACTAACTTGTGCATGCAAACTAAGTATAAAAGGCTTTAAAAGCAGTTCAGTACCTGGTTTGTTGGGATTCTCAGCCACCCAGGCAATGGTGATACCTCCGATCTCAGAGTCACTGAATCGCAGCAGGAAGGTGCCATTGGGTTTGGACAGCAGCATGTCCTGTGCCTGCTGCTTGTTTACAAAGCCCAGGATGGCACTGCGAACAGTACACAAACACACAGACATATTTATACATTAACTCTTGAATGCACTGGCTTTGTCGTTTCTTGTTTGTACAAAAAAAGTCAGCATGAGTCATTACCCATCATTCCAGTGAGGCTTGAGATGTTTCTTCATGAGCTCTACAACTCCATCAAACCACTGCCAGAAGGTGAAGTTGCGTCCAGGTAAACTCTCCTGTACAAATTAAACATATTCCATCAATATTTTCATAAGTACAAAGGACATAGCACATAAAAGCACAGTAGTAACAAGTTTACTGTAAAATCACATTAGCATGCAGCAGGGCTATTTTGTAGCTATGGCTTAGTGATATTAGTCTTGCGCAATATGTTGTGCAACGAGCTGGCCTCACCCGGTTGAACTGGGCCCAGGATATAGTCATGTTGTGGTAGTCCTCAGGGTTGTTGCTGCTGCTTGTAAAAGCCTTCTGTGCCAAGAAAACCAGGTTGTCCTCCGACAGGCCACGCCCACTGTGCATCTCCGCCTTGTACTTCATATCAAGTGCCTCGCACAGCTGGGGCCACAGCACCTTGTCTGGCACGATGAACGGTACCCTGCCCTGAGGAGACATAGGAAAAGAAGTAGAGAAGCTCAGATCCTGACTGTGTATTCATAACTGTTATTTTGACAAAACATGAGAAAGTGACACTTTTCTGTTTTTTTTCGAAGACTTAAAAATGACACTGAAGAACCACAGGGAGATGTGAAAACATAAGTCAAAAACAGAAATGTGATACCACACTTATTATCGACTGCAGCTTTAGTTGTTACAGTTTCTGTTTCTTATTCTCACCAAATCTCATGAAAAGACCAAAACCAGCAATGTGTTAGTCTGTCTCTAATTTATAGCTGCAATGATTAGTCAATTAATGGATTAGTTGATCAACACAAAATGAATTAGCAATTATTACAACCAAATAATCATTTTAGCCTCTTTTTTGGCAATTTTGCCATTACTTGACAGTTTACAATAGAGATAGAGACTGGACACAAGGTTCCCTGGCTGGGAATTGAACTGTGGATGTTATGTGGCAGCCCCTGGACATCCCATTTTAGTCCTTTTTTTCAAGCAAATGGCCAACTGAACATGGTGTCAGAAGTTTAGAAAGTTATGAAGATAGAAATAACGTGCAAAGGGCTGTATAGTGCAACAATTAAGCGCAAGTGTTTTTTGAACTGATCGGACATAAAAAGTTCCAGCTAAAGCTAGCTAACAGAGGCGGCGGCAACATGAATCAGTTTCCAGTCTTCCCACCGGAGAAGTTCACGTTCAAGGCGGACGATTGGACAAGTAGGATAAAACGTTTTGAAAGATTTTGCGATGCTTCATGATTGGAAACGCAAGCAGATGAAAATCAAGTGAATGCACTAATTTACACTATGGGAGAAGAAGCAGAGGATACTCTGGTTTCCCTACACTTAAGAGGAAGCAACACAGTTAGAAGAAAGCTGGATGCGCACTTCGTAACAATGAGAAACGTGATCTTTGAAAGAGCTAAATTTAATCAAAGGTAGCAAGAAGTAGGCGAATCAGCCGACAGCTTCCACACAGCACTACGTTGCCTCGTGGAGCACTGCAGATATGGAGCTCTACATGATGAGATGGTGAGGGATTGACTTGTTGTGGGCCTGAGGGATAAACGCTTTTTGGAACAGTTACAAATGAATCCCGACCTGACGTTAGATAAGGCCATCACTAGAGCTCGACAATGCGAGTAGGTGAAAAAAGCAGCAAGGAATGCTTGAGGACTAACTTTAAAGCGGACATCTCAAACACTCAACTCGATAGCGTGCATGCGCGGCGGCACACGTTCAAAGCATAGCAAGCAGCAAAGCATACAGACTTTTCAGAAAACACAGCAGGAAAGACAAATACAGTGTAAAAGATGTGGAGACACAAGAGGGCATCTTATGCAACAATGTCCAGCAAGAGAGGCAGTGTGCAATCATTGCAGGAAAAAAGGACACTATGCTAGAGTTTGCAAAACAAAAAAAACATTTGAAGTGAACATAGCCAGTGACTGAGGACAGTGAAGATGACGTTGCATTCTTGGGCTCCCTGTCAGAGGATACAGGTGGTAGTCCATGGATGACAGACATAAACGTGGGAAATTTCAAAGCAGTGTTCAAAATCGACACTGGAGCGGATGTCACTGCAGTCCCAGTAAAACTGTACACCCAGGGGCAGTTTGACAAGCTGTGCGGGGCAACAAAGGTTGTGTACAGGCCAGGAAGAACACCTTTAAAGATGAAAGGCGAGTTCATCTCCTCAGGTACCGGAACACTTCCAGAAATGTATGTCACGCATCCTGGAGGGTCTGGAAGGCGTTCTGTGTCAGATGGAGGACGTGCTCATCTTGGGAGCAACACAGACTTAACATGATGGGAGGCTGCGGAGGACGCTGTCACGACTGCAGGAGGCGGGAGTGACACTCAATGACAAGTGTGAGTTCTCAAAGAGAAAGATAAGGTTCTTGGGTCAAGTCATCGAGGCATCAGGGGTCAGCGCGGATCCTGACAAGATGAGTGCCGTGAAGGCCATGACAGAGCCCAACAGTGTCAGTGAAGTGAGACGCTTTCTGGGATTGACAAATCACCTGGCAAAATTCCTACCACACCTGGCTGAAAAGACACTTCCTCTCAGAGACCTTTTGAAAACGTCAAACATGTGGGCCTGGGGGCCACAACAGTAACAAGCCTTTGATAGCATCANCAAGATAAGGCATCAGGGGTCAGCGCGGATCCTGACAAGGTGAGTGCCGTGAAGGCCATGACAGAGCCCAATACTGTCAGTGAAGTGAGACGCTTTCTGGGGATGACAAATCACGTCAAACATGTGTGCCTGGGGGCCACAACAGTAACAAGCCTTTGATAGCATCAAAGAAGAATGCCCCAATCTTACAGGATGGGTGAAGTGCTTTTCCAGCGACATATAGATGCAGACTGGAGACCTGTGGCGCATGCTTCGAGAGCCCTCAGTAGCACTGAACAGCAGTATGCCCAGATTGAAAAGGAGAACCTAGCCACAGCATGGGTCCTGCGAGAGATTCGCAGAGTTCCTTATTGAAACGGATCACAAACCTCTGATTCCCCTGCTGGGTTCAAAGAGGCTAGATGAACTGCCACCACACAGACAGCACCTGCGCATGCGACTCATGAGGTTCTCTTACACAATTTCACATGTGGCAGGCAAAGACATCGCAACAGCAGAAGTGCTTTCCAGAGCCCCTGTCAGCGTTGCAGCAGAAGGGCTACAGGAGGGAGAAATTAACCTGTATGCCGTCTCTGTTATTGTGAGCCTGCCAGCTACAGAAAAGAGGCTTAGAGAAATACAGACACATCAGGACGAGGACACTACTCCATCAACTGAAGAAATACAGCATGGAGGGCTGGCCTGACAAATTCTCCATTGAAAGAGCATTCCAGCCCTACCTGCCTTTCTCAGGTGAGCTCACAGTTCAAAATGGTCTGCTTCTGTACAGCTCCAGAATAGTAATTCAGCGTCATTCAGAGCAGACACACTGACCAAACTTCACGAGGGCCATCTAGGAATCACCACATGTGGGGAGAGGGCCAGACAATCAGTATGGTGGCCAGGCCTCAGCAGAGAGCTGACAAAACTGATAGAGGACTGTGACACGTGCAGTCGCGAAAGAACAAATTTAAGAGAAACAATGCAACCTACAGAGTTTCCAGCGAGGCCATGGTCTACGGTCGGAGCACATCTGTTTCAACAAAAAACAAACATTACCTGGTGTGGACTATTTTTCAAGATACTTTGAAGTGGCCAAACTAACACACACAACATCAGAACACTGACTGAGCACTTCAAATCTATCTTAGCATGTCACGGAATACCAGAAGTGGTATGCTCAGACAATGGACCACAATTCACATCTGAGCCTTTCAGGAAGTTTACACAAGAGTGGAGTTTCAGTCATGTGACCTCCAGTCCCCATTTTCCACAGAGCAACTGGGAGGCTGAACGGGCTGTATGGACAATCAAAAGTCTACTGAAGAAATCCAGTGATCCCTATCTCGCCCTTATGGCCTAGTGTGCTGCTCCTCTGGGCGAATGGACACACCCCTGCAGAGCCTCTCATGGGGAGGAAAATCAGAACACCATTTACTGTCATTCCATCTCAGCTTAAACCAGGATGGACAGACATGGAGAATCTGAGGATAACGGAACGGAAATACAGAGCTGAAACAAAATTATGATCGCAGACACAGAGCACGAGACATGCCACATCTGCAACCAAGGTGACTGTGTATGGGTCAAAGACATGCTTGAGAGGGGCACAGTGGTATCTACAGCAGGCATGCCCAGGTCCTACATCATCATATACCAAGGGGCACCCTGCGAAGAAACAGATACCATCTGTTGCTGACCCCTAGAGCACCAGAAACACCCACCAGCTCACCTCAGCCAACACCTGAAAACACTGTTTCTGATGCAGCGAGTACACCTGTTTCAAGTGCAATCCAGCGTGACTCCGGTCACCAGTCTCCACTGCAGGAGACACGTTCACCTACCAGAGTCAGAGTACCTCCAACATACCTGAAACACTTTGTTTGTTCATAGACTTTAGGCAAACTGGGCAGAATAACCCCCACATTCCAGTGGAGGGTCAGGCAGTCTACCCCAACCCTCAAAATAAAAAAAATTTAAAAATTAAAAAAAGGAAAGTAAAAGAGAGAGAATTGCGGACTGTCTAAGATTTTATTTTGCTATTTATATTTTTGATATTACCACATATTATTTGCAGTTTTGACAATACCATATGTTAAGGGTTCAAATGTTTAACAGGTTACATTGTTAAGTAGCATGATGAAGAGTAGGAAAAGCCATATATGTTTCTTTTGGTATGAAACCTTGTAATGCTTGAACCTTAAGGAGTGTTATGTAAAATACACATAAGTTAATAGCTTCTCAGTTATGGTTCCAAAATGCCTGTTCTTCGTTGTTCATACATCTCCATAGGTAAAACCTTTTATTTAGAAAGGGGGTTGGAGTGTTAGGTGAAATACTGAGTAGGAACCTTGTGTTTGTAACACAGGTAGCTGCGGAGGGAGAAGAAGAAAAGGACCAAGTGCTATAGCGGAATGCTGTCCTGTCTTGTGTGGAGCCTTGTTGAAGGTTATCATCACTACGCCTACGGCCATATGAACAGCTACCAGACATGGTGAAGTATAAAAAGGCCACTGTGGAAACAGACAGTCGAGGAGTAGCCAACTTACAGGTTCAGCAAAGGCATTGTCCCACAGGACTGTTGCCGTGGCATTGTTGTCCTGACTCCCGTGGACGATCACTACCACAGGCAGCGATAGGGTCTGCAAGCACAACAAGAGGGACAGTTCAAGATTAAAGAGGAAGAGTCTTCTGGACTCATTCAGACTAATGCTAGAAAACATTTAGAGAAAGCTTAGACAAAGCCATAATCTTGATGAATACTGGCTAGTATTTCAATTCTTCCAAAGGAGTCAGCCACAGTCGGTAGCAAATGGCCGAAGAGCAAAGCTAACTATTCAAAAATCAAGCAAGACACCCAGAGTCCTTTGGCTGCTATTCACTGGTATAAAAGATCAAATGTTCCATGTGATTACTTTGACATGAAAGACCAACTCGTTGCCCCCGACACTGAACTGTGATTCAAACAGAACTGTGAACTTCTCCTCCGTCACCGACTCTGCACCTCGACGGTCAGAACGCTTGATCCGTTTCAGTGACTGTAAACACACACAGCAAACACATGAGAAGTTATAAGAGACATATAGCTTTATTACTATAAACTATATCAGGAACAATACTTGTTAACAGGATAAATTCATTGTTGGTTTTCATGGAATTTGTTGATAATGATGACATAAAACACAAAAGATTTTCTGTTAAATTGCGATTCTTATTTAAACAATCCAATATCAATTCTTAAAATCCCTAAATTGATCTTTGAATTTGCATCTTTTCTCAGTAAACATGTAAATCTGTGCTAAATGTTACATAGAGGCAGTTAGTTGTAAGTGGTTCAGTTCAGGCTGCACAATGTGTAAACTGTCTACTTTGTTTGTTAAAATTGAAAATGAAGTTTAACTTAAGCTAAGCTAAGCTATGAGCCACCTTGAGTCACAACATTCTCATAAATGTGACTAATTACAGTTTAGGTTACAGGTGTGCTGTGACTCAGGATTGTTAGCTGTTTATCTCGTAGAAAATCTGGAGATCCCATCTATGAGAGGAATAGACTGAAAAAGACTCATCTGAGCTGTGTGTGTGTTTGTTGTGTATCTCAGTCAGTCCCTGCCGGGGAGTGAACACTAACTAACCAGTTGTCTGCAGAACACAAACCCTGAAAATGAATCAGTGAGCAGACTTTCACTTTTCTGTCCTGCCTGTGCTCATAGTGATAATTAAAGTGGATGTGCTGTACTTGGCTGAATCATCTGCTGCTGTCAGTCCATGTGTAGCTGTACGGGACCCCATTTATTTCTTTAAGATATGCATAATGATGACAACCTTGTAAGTGTTGCAGGTTTGTTATTATTCTTGCTCAACTGTTTTGCACATGTAGGCCTACAAAATATTTATTTATCATGTTTTAGACATTCTGCAATTGCCAAGGAAAATAAATCATTTTTCGCTTTACACAATTTTTTATTCAAGCAAGCAACTCTTGTTGAATGTACAAGAAACTTAAGTTCCCAGGGTAAATTCTCAGATCCGCTTTACGCAACATTGGTATTTATCTGATGTAACTAAATTACTCAAGGTCCCATATTTTATACTTTTCCAGTGTTTTATCTGAAGTGTTGATTCATAAGATATATTTGTGGTTTTAAGAACCAAAAACCATCTCAATTACATCTCCTCTCTCAGGCTTCTCTCTGGAGCTCTAGTAACAACAGGTCTGTGTTATTTCTAACTTTGCATATGTTCTGATTTGAGGGCAAAAAGAAAAGGGGTTGTATACAGAATTGTAATGTCATCTAGGCTGTGACACAGTGGTTTGGTTGAAGTTCTCTTTGTCTTGGTTGTTTTAAAATGTATGTAATATCACTGGTTACTGTGTAGTTTGGTTTTTAAAGGGTGGTTTAAGGGTTTTGTCTTGTTTCATTCAGAAAACCACAAAGGACATAATGTGCAGTCTTCCATCATCAGTAATAGTAGTAATATAACAAAGTGCTTTACAATATAAACACAAAAATCTAAGCAAAAATGACCTGCCTTTCAGCGTAAAAACAGACATCAACAATAGAGCAGTAGAATATAGAATAAAAACAAGACAGGCTTAGACTAACAACTCAGTAAAATGGATAAAATCAGGGGAAACATTATGATCTGAATGGTGATTTTAAGGTTGGAACTGTCTGAACTGAGTGGGTCTCCTCAAGTAAGGGATTACAGAGTGTCAGGGCCCCGACAGACAGGTTCACTTATCCCTGGCTGAACTTTAACTCTGGGTTGGCTGAGAGATCGGTGCTTGAAGATCTCAGACTACATGAAGGTATTCTTCACAGTTACAGTCATCGCCAAAAATATTGGCACCCCTGCACTTCAGATAATGCACCATTTCTCCCAGAAATTTGTTGAAATTATTTATTTTGTTTGCATTGGAACAACACAAAAAAACTGAGAAAGAAAGCCAAATCTGACATCATTCCACACAGAACTCTTGACACCCTCAACTTAATATTTGGTAGCACACCCTTTGGAAAAAATAACTGAAATCAATCGCTTCCTGTAACCATGAATGGGTTTATGACACCTCTCTACTTGAATTTCGGACCACTCTTCTTTTGCCAACTACTCCAGGTTTCTCACATTTGAAGGGTGCCTTCTCCCAACTGCTGTTTTGAGATCTCTCCACAGGTGTTCTATGGGATTTAGATCTGGACTCATTGCTGGCCACTTCAGAACTCTCCAGCGCTTTGTCTTAAACCATTTCTGGGTGCTTTTTGAAGTGTGCTCTGGGTCATTGTCCTGCTGGAAGACCCATGACCTCTGACAGAGACCCAGCTTTCTGACACTGGGCCCTACATTGCGCTCCAAAATTCTTTGGTAGATTTCATGATGCCACGCACACAGTCAAGGCATCCAGTGCCAGAAGCAGCAAAGCAACCCCAAAACATCTGTGAACCTCCACCATGTTTGACCGTAGGGACTGTGTTCTTTTCTTTGAAGGCCTCATTTCGTTTTCTGTTAACAGAACAATGATATGCTTTACCAAAAAGCTCTATTTTGGTCTCATCTGTCCACAGATTTTGGCTTCCTCAGGTAAGTTTTGGCAAACTCCAGTCTGGATTTTTTATGTCTCTCTGTCAGAGGTGGGGTTCTCCTTGGTCTCCTACCATAGCATCCCATTTCATTCAGATGGTGACGGATAGTGCGAGCTGACACTGTTGTACCTTGTGTCTGCAGGTCAGCTTGAATTTGTTTGGAAGTTGATCGAGGTTCTTTATCCACCATTCCAACAATCCTTCGTTGCAATCTTTCATCAATTTTCCTCTTCCGTCCACGTCCAGGGAGGTTAGCTGCAGTGCTATGGGCTGTAAACTTCTTGATGACGTTGCGCACAGTGGACACAGGAACATTAAGCTCTCTGGAGATGGACTTGTAGCCTTGAGATTGTCCATGCTTTTCCACAATTTTGGTTCTCAAATCCTCAGACAATTCTTTGCTTTTCTTTCTTTTCTCCATGCTCAGTGTGGTACAGACAGACACAAACACAATGGTTGAGTCAACTTTTCTCCATTTAAACTGGTTGCAAGTGAGATTTCTATATTGCCAGCACCTGTTACTTGCCACAGGTGAGTTTAAATACAAATTAAAGGAGCCTCTCATGCTTGAAATCCTATTGTTTCTTACAATTTTGAAAAGGTGCCAATAATTTTGTCCAGTCCATTTTCAGAGTTCTGTGTGGAATGATGTCAGATCTGGCTTTTTTTCTCTGTTTTTTTGTGTTGTTCCAATGCTAACAAAGGAAATAAACATGTGAATACCAAAGCATTTTTAATTGCAACAAATCTCTGGGAGAAACGGTGCATTATCTGAAAGAAGTGCAGGGGTGCCAATATTTTTGGCCATGACTGTAGGTGATTTATTCAGGTGTCAGGCCGTTTAAAGTCGAGCAATAACATTTTCATATCAGTTATAGTTAGTATCACAGTTATATCAGTATCATATCAGCGATCCCTTCAAGTCTTGCAAAAGAGTTTTGTTTTGTTTCTAAGGCTTTTTGATTGGTGCTGGTAAAAAAGAACACAGCAGGAATCACACTAAGCAGCAGGTGAATATGTGAAATGTAATTAAGCTGATTATTAAGCTAACTGAAACGGATGTAGGGATCAAATATTAAGCCAAGATTTTCAGCTACAAGATAAAAACCCTAAATAAATGAGAATATGCTGATAATGTCAATAGTAAGGCTCCCTCTCTTGTCAGAGTTTAACTTAAGAAAATCAATATAGATGGCCCATTGTATTGAGCAGTACACCAGAAACAGTAGGCTGTACTGGAAGGTTTAGGTGGTGTTGGTGTTGGAAGGTATGTTGTCTGTGTAAAGAAGAGATAAGATGCTGGGCTGAAAATAGTGCCACCGCCATGGAGCATATAAGGGAAAACTAACATAGGATCCAGAATTGATACCTGTGATACACCAAACCTAATTTAGGTTTTGTTATTGGACCAAAATCCACATTTTGGTTAAGTATTACCTTACAAACCTACATGGGGTTTCTAGCCAAATCATGGGAAAATGATGTTACTTTCAACACAATTCTACAATTTAATATAAAAATTGTATACGTATATATGGTGGATGTTTTAGAAAATACCTATGTTGTATCACTCATTACACTCCTTAAAAGAAATCCAATAGAGCTTACCATGTTTCTGAAGTGTGCACTGAGGGTGCCGGTGGCCTGGTGATACTCCATCACACAGTTGTTGTTGAGGATTTCTCCACTGCTTTCACTACAAAGGCAAAAGAAAGATGACAGAAAAGCTAGAAATAATTTAACACATTCTCATTTACTGTAACGGCAGATCTCTTCAAAAAAGGGTTGACACATTACACATTTCATCTGTTAATCTCACATGACAACTAAACCACAATGAAACATTTTGTCTAGTTACTACCAATTAATCAATTACCATGGCATTTGACAGCCTTTAGGATTCATGGAAAAGTCTGCATGCTGCCATGTGCACCTCACCTGTGTGTGCTCTCATTCTTCAGCAGAGCTTTGGCCTGCTGCTCGCTAACAATGACCGCCTTGACCTGTGGTGGGTTCATGTGGACATTGAGTTTTCCGCCCACCAGGAGGCGTACAGTGGCTGCAAACTTGGTCTGGGTCTTTAACACCTGGGGTGGCTGCTTTTCAATGATGAAGGTGCTGAAGAGAGGACAATGACACGATGAGTTGGTCAACATTTTCTCTCATGATAACATTAGCATTATCCTTAGGCAGTGATGTTCATGTATGGGCATTAGCTCAGTGTATCAACAAAGTGGAGTGGGACAAGCGCTTCTGTCTATGAAAACCACCAACAGTATCAATGAGAAGGGAGAAGGCTGACAGAGTCCTGCTGCCACAGAGAATGCACTTCCTGGCATGAAAACAGGCACAACTCTCACTCCGGATATACAAGGTAGTGTCGGCCCTGCATCCTATACTCAAGCAGCAAACCCCACAATCCCCACCGAGGATCAGCCATCTAAAAGTGCACAAACACCCATAACCTCTCCAGTATCCTTGCAAGAGTAGAGAGAGAAAGTGAAGCATACAGAGAGACCAAAAACCGAAACTTAACTTTTAATTTGGTAATTATGCAATGTAATTCTGGTGTAATGCTGTGGTTAAGCTGCAGTGTAGATATGGAACTACACTGCAAACTGAGGCACAGATAAAGGTGACAGCCAGAGATTACAGAGGATGAATGCTAATTCAATGGCCCTGCATCATGCATGCATCTCCTGTATAAAAGGGGTAGAAGAAGTCAAAGTTTTGGTCAAAATAAATGGACCAATAAAACAATATATGTTGATGTCCAGTACTTGAGAAGTAGTGGGTAAGACATGTATAACAACACAGAAAAACAAAAAAGAGCAAAAATGTTTCACTGCTTCTGTGATTAAAATATCTGACAGGGGAAATGACTTTGTCACAGTGATGTAAAAATCAGACAACAAACTGAATGTAGTGTAAATAGCAGTACTTCAGTAAATTCCACTAAACAAAAAAGAAAAAAAAATAGAAAAAAAGAGATGACATTCACTCCAATGTGGAACGAATGACAACTAGAGGTCCGGAACTAATAAGGCCAGTGAATGACAACTGCAAAAGATGCAATCCTGGGGTCAGACACTCACCTCACCCAGGCTATGACCACAGTGCCCCGAAAAAAAAAAAAAATCTGAATCAGAAGTGGTGAGTGGACTCACGCCTGGCTGGGCCCTAAACTTACTGAGATCACAGTTTATGCTCCAGGTATACAAGGGGTAGCCACATAAGATACTCCAGGGGGCACTGCCTTATCCAACTCTAGTCCACAGGCGCCGTCAGCAAGCAGGTGCAGACTAGATTCTCACCTGGTAACCAGGGCAGAGATGATATCAGTGATGTCACTGTTGAGTTTGCTCAGCAGCTCTTCCATCGGCCCCGGCAGGGGGAGCTGCTGGGTTAGATGTTCACAGCGCCGGATCTGCTGCCGGTTCTGCCAGATCAGGTCAGCCAGCTTCTCACACCTTGTGGACAAGGAGACGATACCACCATAGCATTAAGGTAAAGGAGAGGATGGGAAAATCATTAGATGTTCCTCTATGTGAGTTTATTTATGCATATAAATCCTATGTTTATATTTGTTTTTATAGATGAATGTTTTATTAACCTCAGTGCCTTAATTGTAAGAAAACATTTCCACAAACTTTCCTCTATCACAAAAAAAAAATCATGCACCTTTTAACTGTTTAATAAAATCTCCACTCTGTAATATAATCCAGAAGCCAAACTAATTAACAAGCATTTCCAGTATGTACCAGGACTGGAGGACATCCAGTCCCCCCTCATGAGGACCCCCATTTCCAGCCAGCTGCTGCCTCCTCTTCCACTGGATGAGTTCCTCATCCAGGATTAGAGTCTGCTGCTTCCTCAGCAGGCCCAGGGTCTTCTGGTGTTGTTCTGACAGGTCCTGCAAGCACACCACCAGCCACATGCTGAGGAACATTCACATATGTGCCATTCAGTTTGTTAACATTCACAAAAAAAGAAATGATACAGGGAGAAATGCAGTTAGCAGGACATGTGGAGACTGATTTAGATTTAAAAGGAGATATTTATTATCACTTGCTGCAAATAATAGTCAGGGTTGTCATTTTGTGTAAGGCTTTTTTTAAGACATGTTGTGCATGTCTGAAAAGTAATGGAGCACAAAAAACAGTGTGTTCTGCTGCTGAACTTTTGAAATTGTGCATTTTGAAAGTGCATTCATCAAGCAAGAAGAAGACCGTATGTCAGGAAATATTAGCCGAAGGCTTGAACAGGTGGTTTCATCAGTGCTTGTGTGTAGGCTTGGTACGGCTGTCGACTCACATTTCTTGACTACACAGCTACACCTTTTGGCTGGACCGCAACAGCAGGGCCAGTCTTATAAATGCCAGTGTTGCTGACTGACTGACTGACTGGCTGACTTGTTGATGAAGTTATGGCATTGGTAGGCTGTCCAGCCAGGTGTTGGAGTTTCAAAATGATTTGGTGATAACAGTTTCTACTATGTCTTCATTGGGCCGTTTACAGGCAGTTTTGCCAGCTTAGCGCCTTTGTTGCTACATATAGAAACTTTTCAGACCCCTTGATCAACTTTTTCTCAAAACTGCACCTAGTGACAAATTAAGCTACTTTTTGGACAAACCATAGCTACCTTCTGTGGGAGAGTCGTCACTATTGCCCTGCGAGCCCTCTGCATGCACACCTTTCTAAGCCTCTCACTCAACTGACTGTACAGCACATGACAGACATGAATGAGTTTCTAACTTTCCCTCTGAGTGATCATGTTACTAGTAACTACAGCCAAAATCACAGCACAGTCTTTGTCTTTAATTTGTGTGTTTGGTGACGTTGTCAGGCGCTGTCATGGTTATAAAATCAGGATTTTAGCAGCAGCTTGGAAGTGACTTCTGGTTAACATGCAGTCTTAATGGGCTGTGTTTCAGTGACTATTTCATAGTTATTCCGTTGTCCGACAACGGAAACAGAAAAAAAAATGTGAGCACAGAGAGTAGGAGAGAAGCAAACAGATAAAAGGCTGAAATCAACTGACACCAGGCAGGATATAGACTCCATGGTGTGGTAGGATTTGTAACTCACATATCACCAAGATGCCAACTTACTTTCTCTGAGGATATCTAATGTTTTCACATAGGCATTTCCTCTGCTGCTCCCCGACTCTGAGTTGACTTTAACAGTCAGACTCTGTATCTATTCTCAATAAATCTTTCTCAGCCTTATTTACGTGCAGTGAAGTCTGTCCTAGTTCAGTTGCTGTTTGCTACAATAAACTTAAAACCTACAAGGCAAAAACAAAATGTATTTATTTGGTTTATTGTCCTGCTTTACTGTTCACTATAGAAAGAAACTCCTGAATCAACCACAGCATGATGTATATTTAAAGTACTATCTCTAAACTGGAATTATATTATGCGCAGAAGGACATGACATTAGGAAATCATATGGGCAGGAATTATATATAGTCATGAGTGTAATTCAGTGTAATGCATTAAAAAAGTGAAATTAAATAAAGTGAAAATAAAAAAGGAAATTTAATCAGTCTGAAAGGAACAGACACCAATTTCTGAGAGAAGCTGAATCTGAGTGACAGTAGTGCATTATTCCAAGGTTCCCTGTGAAAGTACGGCCTCCATTTTATTTGTCAACACACATACATGTGGGCAACAAGATTCACATTCATGACAATGGTTTTACACTTTCACCAGGAAACAAAGCAATGTGCCAACAAAGGCAGTGAAGGAGAAGACTGCAAACAAGTGAACATGAATGAAAACAAAGCAGGTTTCTAACTTTTTCAAACTGTATACAGTACAGTATGGGTCTATGTTGTGTATCGTTGCCAGTCTGTATTATTGCAGAGCTACAGTATATGGTGTGTGTGTTTGTGTGTGTGTGTGTGTAGGCACGTGTAGTGTGTTCATACAAGCCTGTATTTCTGTAGTGTGCTGGCCTCTCTGGCGAGCCAGGCCTCCACAGTGGCCCTTTTGCTCTGCAGGGTGGTCTCCCGCTGGGTGCGCTCGGCCGGAGGCAGGGAAGACAGGCTGCTCAGCTGGGCTAACAGAGCAGGAAGCAGGGAACAGTCAGGACATTAGAAACTCCACCAGCACAAAACACATGAAGAATTTTAACCAGCCCCTGATTGCAGGTCATTTTCTCGAGTCAAACAGGCTGGTGATGTCTGGAACCTATTTGTCCTTCTGACATGGCAGAGAAACAAAACGCTAAATCTTAGGCTGTTATCACAACTTCAGTTTCTTTCTTTCTTTCTTTCTTTCTTTCTGTGGCTCAATCAGGGATGAAAAATATTCATATATATTTATTTTGTATTTGGTGAATTTACCTTACACACATGGCCAATGAATGGTCAGTGGGTTCTGTGCTGCTTAGAGTTGCAGATGCATATTCAGTATTAGGTTGGGTAGAAACTCATTTTTGGGCCAGGGACACAGAATATACTAAGCATATACTGAGGATGTAATGTTGTGTGTATCCTTCCATATCAGTATCAGTATGTGTGTGTGTGTGTGTGTGTGTGTGTGTCCATCGTCCTCACCCTGGATGCGCAAGTTCTCCTGGTATTGGATGATGAAGTACTCCTGGCTGTGCTGCAGCTTTCTCAGTTCGTTCTCAGTCTCCTGTGTGGCCAGACGTAGCTCCTCAAAGGCCTGGTTGATCTGCTGGTGGCGCTGTGACAGGGAGTCCATAGCTTGGGTCCCAGTCCCACAGCTGGCCTACACACAAAACATTAATAATAAAAACATCAGAATCCTTTTGTCTGTTTTTTCTCTTTTTGTCCCAACAGTTTGGTACTACCAATATCATGGCACTAGTATGTGTAATTTATTGTTTGTGAATAACCCTTATTATTATCATTAACATATGGATTCACAGCATTCCTGCCTGCAAATGATGAGACATCAGAAACCCCTCCAATACTTACATTTGTAGCTTCTTGAACCAGCCTCTGCTCTGAGTGCAGGATGTGTTTAATGCAGCGCACCAGCTCCAAAGGGCAGCGGTCGTAAGTGCTCTGCAGAGATACACACACAGGCGAATCATTAATTAAATCAATTGAAAAAACTCAATAGCATACCATCAATGTGGCCGTTAATTTTAGAGCTTAGTACTTTCCGTCCAGGCCATGTTCATTGCTCTGCTCTTGTGAGTGAGAAAGGGTTTTTTGCTCTTTTTTGCTCTTTTGTTGCAGCACACCTGCTTACATTTCTCAATGTGAAAATAAATATCATAGGTGATTCATTAGTGCCCACGTATAACCTATAATAATAGATCCTAGAACATTTGCTAAAGGCCCATGTAGAAACAATATGTAGCAGAAAAAGTTAAATATTTATGTCAAAGTTTATGGACTATTACAGACTATTTAATTACCTTGACATAACCACAGTGTGAGATGCATTTCTCTTAATCACTCTTTGTTACACCCACAACAACAGTGTACTTTTGACCTACAGTAAGTCATCAGTACACAAAGGGACAACTCAGTCATTAGGCCAAGTTTAAAATCTCTTGCATTTACAGTTTTAGTGACTTTATACTCCTAATAAAAAAATCCTAACTCATTAACTAAAAATGATATTGACAAACTGTTTACAAGCTAATATGGCTAGTCATTCTTGACATTTTAAGGTAAATCCATTACTATTTGGGAGTAATTGTGATTTACATCAAGCATTCTTTATATATTTTTATTATAGCGCCACCTGGTGCAAAAACTGCATGAATATCAGCAGTCCTATTTGTGGTCTCTCTCAGCCAAATTTAGTTGTAATAGGATGAAGCATTCAAGAGTTATAGCAGGTTTAACTGATTTAACCCCCCCCCCACACACACATACACACACAGTTTGTTAGCCAATCATTGTGTGATTGCTGTCAGTGGTCAGTGTGAATTAGGCATGACGACAGTGAGAAGCTACTGTTCGTTAACAACAATGGCGGCTCCTAAAGATGAAGTTAGCGTGGATGCTGCTATAGCATCAGTTATATCAGAACTGGAGAGTATTTTTTTCACTGAAAAAAGAGCAGAGAATAGCACTGACTTTGACACAGAATCTGATTGGTTGAAGTTAGACAGTGATAGACAGATGGTTCATCCAATCACCTGCCAAGTATTTTTCAAAAGCACCTGCGTCTTTTCTAAACAGTTTCCAATGAAGTCTTCCCAGGTGATTCTGTGTAACAAACCATCTGATACGTCAGGTTACATAAGTGCACAAGGTACTAGAATTGACGGTTCAATCTTACATAGCAGTAGTAAACTTGTACATTGATCAGTCGACACAGGTTTACAGTTGAAAAGTTCGCAGACTGGGGCGTCGAGTGGCACAGTTGGCTGAGCTGGCGCCCCATATGCAGAGGCTAAGGTCCTCGCTGCAGTTGGCCGCGGTTCGAATCCCGCATCGGACGGCCCTTTACTGCATGTCATTCCCCCTCTCTCTGCCTCCCCATTTCCTGTCTCTCTCTACTGTACTATCAAAAAAGCCAAAAAAAAAAAAAAAGTTCACAGATAAAAATTAAAGCCATGTCCCGTACACTTCTAGTTATCTTAGACATAATTCAGAAAAAAAGTTGATTGACTAACCCTAACCCTGGTTTTTTGTTTTTGTTCAGTGGGCGTCACTTGAAACCTGCTTCACATTAACTGCACCAAATTGTTTCAGCGTAACGTTCAAGTTACTGAAAACAAGGGCACTTCTCCTTTGTCTCACAGTAGCTGACTGGTACCTTGAGCTGGCTGGCGTAGTGGCCTAGCTTGATCTTGAGCAGAAAGCCGTCCTCTCCTCCCTGAAGCTGGGCTTTCCTCTGCAGCTCGGCCACCAGGTTGTCCAGCAGACGCTTGGCTTTGGCTTCCTCTGCTGGGTTGTCCAACTCCACTGAATCCCTGCAAAACAATTACATTTTTAGATTTCTAACCAATCCAAGGCACGAGTCAAGCTCTTATTAAATTCAACTCATTTAACAGGGTGATAATTATAAATTTTACTTATATTGCACTTTCAAATCAAGGTCGAAAAAAAAACAAACATACAACATAAACATAATCAGATAAAAGAACCACCTATAGTTAAATTTAACAAATACAACACATAAGAATAACACATATGAACATCATCAAGTAAAGTGAGATAAGCTAGTAAAAAAATTAACAACTCTGTGATGTAACCAGACATAAGCTCCATCAGAGTCTTAAAGGCTAACAATACATTTCAGAATCAATTCTAAAAGTAATTGGAAGCCACTGTACGAATACAAGGACAGGTAAAATGTGCTCGGGCCTCATTTTTAAACTGTGCTTATCCATTCTACCTGCGTGTAAATCACAATCAGCTTTAAAATGTGCACTACACTCCCAGAATTATCTGGAAATGGTCAATGTAACACCCTCATGAGTACTGACATAGTCATTGTTCTTGTGATGATTGACAGTTGCGTAACAAAACAAAGTAGGGTTGGGGGTGGGGTGTTAAAGTTGGTTTTAATGTTGTATAGGTTTTTAGAGCCTGACAGGAATAATATTCTGGGGCAACAATGAAGGTTAAATTGGCCAATTAGCAATCATCATATTATATTATATCATATTATACTATATATGAAATCTAAATACAAAAGGGATCTTACATCCAAAGAGACTAATATTGCCATTGAAAAATCCATGTTCCAACCCACAGTATGGGTGCCACCACAATGAAAATAACAATAAAGGTCTCAAACATACCAGAGCTGGGTCTCAATCCACTGGGCCAGGTAGTGTCGCACCTCGATAGGGAAGTGCTGGCCGTACAGTGCCTGCATCTGGTGTAACGCCTCACCCTGCAGCTGCTGGGCCTGGATCCACATTGCCATGGTGCTGCTGTGGAAGCAGGAGGATGGCAGGAAAAGAGGACAGTGACAGGATGAGGAAGAAGGGGAAAGGATCAGTAAGCAAGAGTAGTAATGAGCAAGATGACCAGAGGGAGAGTTTTTACAGTAGAGTGAAAGTTAAGTTGAGTTAAGGTGAAGTGAAGAGGAGTTATCACATTGTTTTACTGAGAACAGGAAACATCATAAGTCGTCAAAAAACAAATACAAAGCAATACCTGCCAAAGTAGTGAGCAGTTCCAATGGGATGCAAGTGTCCCTGCTGATCTCAGTAGATCACTTCAGATGACGTACTACACCCACAGTTCTTACAAAATGCTGAAATGCTTCCAAAAGTGCTCCTGATTCACCATGGCAAAGAGCTGCACTTCCCACAATTCAGCTTCAGATCATTTGTCAGAGACCTCCTCTTCCATTTGGCACACTGACACAAAAAGCAGAGATATATGAATTAATTTAGAATCGATCCACCATTTTCTACAGTAATGCTTCTCTTTACTAGAGAATAAAACAAGTATTTGTCTATGTATTCAGGTGCAGTAACAACACCACCTTCCTCCTCATGTCCTTAAATTTACTAACACTAAATAACAAATTGCTCAATAGCTGCATGCTAAACAAACTACTGGTTTAAAAACATAATAACATATAAACATGTAACGTAGCTGTGAAAAGTCATGTTAAAAGATGACCAGTAGTGGTTCATTCAGGCTACACAAGACAGCGGAACGCATCGGTCAACAGCAAGGAAGCTTTCACTCCCAACAACTTTGAGACATAGCTTAGCTTGCTAACATTACTGTACATTGAGATTGGCTCGTTGGTAAACACAAAAATAGTATGGAGAAACTTGCAAATGGCGACCACTGAATTTTGCTGAACATATGTTCAAATGCTGAGTGGGAAGATGGTGAAATTACGTTACGTTTATTACTTTTCTGGGGCAAAACAGCGTAACGTTGGCTAGCTAGCGGAGGAGAGCTACTCTGCTAGCATAGTAGGAGCGCTCACTGATACTACAACTTCACTTTCATGCTCCACAAGTGGTTAACGGCCACGTCTTTAACTCACCTTTTAAGCAACTGCAGCGCACCTTACAGCAACACCGTGGGCACGCAGCGGACAGCATACACACACGCACACGTACACACACAAACACACACCACTTTTCAACCTCTTACGGGTTAGTTGACGTGCATGTCACATCGCCAACTTCTTTAACGCTCTCTGGTTTCTGGTAAAGCAGCTGTTGTTGCATCAAGTCAAGAGACAGTATTAACGACAGCTTCCGATTTAAAATGTCAAATTAAAAGCTTTATTAAACATTAATAATATGTGTAATATAAGTTTAACAGACCATGATTTTTGTCGTAACTTCTCTGTATATAACAGACTACACAAACAAAATGTACTTGACATTTGTTGTTGTCTTCGCCCAATAATTGTAACAATAATCTTAATGAAGGTGTAGAAGCCCTCTAAATCCGGTCGTGTCCATGCTTACTTCAGATAACTTGATGCAGCCCTGCCAGTACTCCTATTTCCGCTGGGAGCCCCACCCCCAACCCGCGCCCAGCTGTGTGTCAAAAACACATCTGTGTGTGGTCGCGTTTACATTTAGACTTTTATTAATGTATATAAATACATCTAATGAGTTTAAGACAGTCTGATAATGAATCAGGCTTAAAGACGGCAATAGGGCAGATTAAAAAAGTTATGAATAAAAAAATAATAACAATAGTCTCATACAAAACTGAGGAAATTATCATTTTTGTATTATTATGATTTTGCATATGATTTGTTTTTGTTTTTCGCCCTTTCAAGTTATTTCTCAGCAACACCTTAGTAGTGCTTATATGTGCAACTGGTGGCATTCAACCACAGTTATACTTTGCCATGAGATACAATTTGTTAGAATAGAAAACACTAAAATAATACCAAAATCAACTTCACATAGCACACTGCTTTAGATCAGACAGGTCTGCTGTAAATGTGTTTGTAATTGGCAGTTTTTTTTGTGTGTGTCCAGTTCTTCAGTTTTTGTGCCAACATCAAATGAAAACACAGTAACTGTGAACCAAATAGTTTTTATTAATTAAATCATTAGTGGTTAAGAAATGAAATGAAACATTAAACATCATAAAGGGATCAGTTAATGACAAAACAAAAGCAAGGAAACAGTTAAGTGTGAACTACATTTTGTGTTTCAATGAGCATATAGCTGCATGTTGTTACTGCTTTGACAGACATGACATTCTTAATCAACTTTGAAGGACTGAGCTTTAAACCACTGAACATCTCTACCACAACTGTGCATCAAAAAAGCTAGAATATTTTTGAATCCTTGCTAACATGTAAGAGCGCCAGTGTCACTTGTTGCACTGTGGAATCTGTGCAAACATCAAAATTATTTGGCCCAAGAAGAAGCTGTTCTAAATGCTGAAGAAGTGCAGGCGACAGAAGGCAAGAGGCTCTCTGGTAAATAAAGTCAAAATGCATTGTGATCTGCATTGGCAGTGATTCACATTATATACAAAAAATGAACACAAATAAAACTGATTTGTCTGAGCTACTGTAGAAACTAAACTTTGACAGTACAAATACTATGGCCATGTGGTAAACCTTTGAAACAGTTATGTAAAAGTCTATATTCTCCTACTTTGGATGATAAATGTATCTTGTGTCTGTCTCTGTGTTAGCCCTTTATTAGACTGGGTGTACGCCCCTTCAGTCCAAAGTATGCCAAGATAGGCTCCAGCTTCCACTACCCTGACCGGGATTAGCTCGGAGAAAGGAATCACTGGATGGAAGTTTATCCTGAATATGCTAGAAGGAATTCAGTCAGAGCAGAAAAAAACATTAATTCTTGTATTCATTCTTGCAAGGCACTCATAAAATACCACCAACAGTGGTGACGATATAAAACACATTTTTACAAACAAGTTAATGTGGACAACAGAGCAAACCTATGTGCGACTATTTAAATGAAATGGTCATTTGAAAGAGAATAGTTGGAAACTCTGCTGAAATGCAGCTTCAATCTGGAACAGAAAAAAAATGAGAGTGAGATGACTGAACACTAGGGGTCAGTGTCAGACCGCAGCAATAACACACACTTAGTCCTGGGAATAGACAGGTCCTAGAAGTGCACAGAGTCTAAACTGCTTCTGCCAGAGGTTTGTAAGATTTGCTTAAAGTATTGGTCCTTATCTCAGTTTATTTATTGAAACACATTTTTAAATAACACACAACAGGTTTGTAAGAGGAAAATTCTCATGAGAAAATAGTTAAAGTGAAATATAATGGACTTATGGATGAGCTGTCTCTATCTTATGTTTTGCTGACCTTCATTTTCATGGGTGCGGGTTGTTCTTTGGGAACACTGGCAGCAAAATGTTATATAAGAGTATTGCATGAAACAAGGTGCGTTGAAAAGACAGTGATTAGGCTACATTCAGTCACTAATGAAAAAGGAGATGACGTCAGCCTAGTGTAAAGTGTGATTACATACAAAATCATTCACAAATACTTAACTGTGAGCTCACGAAAACCTAGAAATTACAACAGAATCACTTTGCTTCTATAATGGGTACATTAAACAGAGTAAGATAACGCCTCAACATTTAAACAACTAATCAACAAAGGGGGCGGAAAGAATAGTTTTGCATGTGTCATATGAGATATTTCACACACACACACACACACACAAGGAAATGTCTGGGTAAGCATGATTATGTCCTCAGTGTGTTTATGAATAATTTGGCCATTAGAGCACGACTGAAATTCAATGGGCAGGAGATGAGTCATTTCCATAGACTCTAGTTGTGAATGATTAGTGTAGTGTCTTTATTTAAAAAATAAAACAAGAAATGAAATGCTGACAAAATTTTACTTTCTTACAAAGGGAATGATGGTGTCCCCTCCTAATGAACTCTTACGTGAATTCTGCTATTTCCACTTCCTGTTTTCTTCTTCTTCTTTCAATTTTAGTGATCATCTACACCCTATAAACACAAAGGGACTCGAAACAACCCCTGAAGTGCTTTAGCAAATATGGGAGGATTTTCATTCATTCTTAAGCACACAGCCTGTAGTCAAAGTAAAACCCAATGAAAATTGTGTTTTTTTCTCTAAATTGGGTCTTATTTTTGTGGTATTGGCCATCATTCATATTGTTAATAATGACATTTTCTTGACCAAGTTAACTGCTGAGACCTGGGAACATGGCAATCTAGGTGAACACATTAGCGAACAGTGAAGCAGGCAAGATCAGTTTAATATTCACTCTGCTGTAATCTCTGTTTTGATCTCTTGAGATCTCCTGAGAAAGATATCTGCTCCTTTAGCTGCTAAAGGTTTTACTGTCTTTACCGACTAGTTGCTAACTTTATCTGTCTGCTGTTGCTTGGCAGGAAGTGTACAGTGAGTTTATCAGAGCTTTTTCACTAAGAACAGTTGCCTACTGCTGGAAAGAAGGTTGATGAGAGTGGATGTTCGCTGAAACCCTGAAACAATGAGTGGAAAGATGTAAAAACTGCAGAGCAGGATATAATTCTCTACTTATTCAGGGGCCTTGTGATTAGATAATAAAGTAAAACCTTCCATTAAGCACTTACCATGTCAGTAGATAGTTTAATGGAGTACAGTTCCAAACAAATTCTTAATTAAACTAGCACAAATCAGTTGACACACATCAACCCTGGAGCTGGGGCATTTGCCCGTCCTGCCCACTTGGTGGATTGGATGGATTGTTGTTGGATGGCTTCCTCTAGCATGTTCGAGTGGAAAACACTGAAATACATCAATTTTTATTGTGTACCACACCCTCTCATCAGCACCACAGTACATTGCCAACTGAACTAATTGGCTAATTCACTCAACAGGTCTGGGCATGATCAAGAAGTTGCCTTGGATAAGATCTAGCCGAGTGATCTGCTGTTAAAAACACTGCCATTTAAACACTCAATGATTCCAGTCTGATTTTTCAAATAAATCATGATTCACACGTAAAATGGGAGTACTATTTACAAATGTTAAATGGCAATATTATACCCTTTCTTTCCTGCCTCTCATATTCTGTTAGAATATGACGCATCCCTTCAGGAAGATGAGGCCCAAAACCTGGTTTCTCCTCACCCGAACCCCCTAAAAAGCAGGGATCAGCTTGGAAGACAGTGTTGTCATGGATTAACTGATGCCTATGTGCCTTCTGTCTGGTCCAGTGATCTGCACCTGGACTAACCAAAGTGCATCAAAAATATTTCCACATTATTCAAGTGGTGATGCTGAACCTAGTTCGTGGTGAGCAGACACCCAAAATTCAAAATCTACTAAATCAGCTCCATGTAAGTGTAGGACTAGCCTGCTCTGACATAATGTATAGCTATTTCTTCAGGGTGGAAACAGAACATTGTATATTTTCTATGTATGTCAACAACAACAACTACTGATTTTAAGAGCATATAATTTGGCTTTTAGTGTAATAAAGGATTACTTTACTTTAGGTGCAGTTTGCCTCCAAATAAAGTGATTTGGAAAATCTGGATAATCTCTTGGTTTGTTAACCATCTGTCTTATTGTCTGACTAATCCGCCAAACTTGTAGAAATGTCGCCATGCTCCCAGATCATAACAATTACTTTGGTGAGTACAAAATCATTATACCTGATAGAAATCATGGCCAAAATAATAAAAATAAGACCCAGCTTGTAATCAACGGTAATTACTTCTTAGAAATCTTCTCGATCACCACAATTTATTCAGTTTTTACAGAACTCTCAGGATTGGTGCAAAGGATTTTGTTAGGATCTTGGCAAATTCCTCTTTCTTTATCTAATCACTGTCTCTATCTCTTTCTTCATTCTCCTCCAGGGCATCGTGGCTGTCTTCCTCTTCATCCTCCTCGACCTCTTCTTCATCCCCTCCCCCATTCATCATCTCCATCTCAACCTCTATTGCGCCCTCCTCAACTTCCCCATCCACCCCACTGAATGGGTCAACATCCTGGGACACTTCCACCATCTCAGTGCCTTGGACCACCTCGACAGCACCCTCACGAACTTTCTTGACATGGAAGGTGAAGGGGGGCACCTTGTACACGGCAGTCTTGGAGCGGGCGTAAACGACGTGGTCTGGCGTGAAGGCCTTCTTCACCTTGTCGCGGGATGTCTGCATCTTCTGCTTGCGCTCAGGGTTGACGCTCATGCGTGTTCCAAGCTTTCCCATCTTCTTCTCAATGTTGTGACGTGTCTTCTCCAGGTTCTCCCTAGTCTTCTGCTTTGTCTTCTCTAAGTTCTCCTTGGTTTTCTGCCTAGTCTTTTCCAGGTTCTCTTTTGTCTTCTGTTTTGTCTTCTCCAGGTTCTCCTTGGTTTTTTGTTTGGTCTTCTCCAAGTTCTCTTTGGTTTTTGCCCTGGTCTTATCCATCTTCTCCTTTGAGAAGACTGTCTTCAGGGTTTGTACGCGCTGCAGACTGCTGCGCTTGATGCGTTCAGCTCGAGACTCCTCAATGGTCTCCTCAATCTCCAAGCCCTCTTCATCTGATGAGAGGTCTACATGTGGCTTATCTGCCTTCTCTCCTTCTCCCTCCTCTCCTGGCTCCTCCACAGCTTCCTTAAGCTCTAGCAAGCTGCCTCCTCTACTTCCTGACACAGACTCAGAGACCTTCATGGATTTAGAGATGCTGAGTTTTGAGGGAACCTTCACTTCATCCTGTGGAGAAGAGAACATAAGGACTGTTAATACATGTTGAATGTGATCAGTAAAAGTGTCTCAATGTCCAGATAGAATACCTTGTTGAAAGTTTAAGACATGATATTATGTCCAGGATGGCCAATGAAAATGTAGACATAGAAACATCTATTCTGTAAGTCACAAAAGATAATGTAGTATAAAAGGTTGAAGTAATTGGACAGTCATAAAGAAAAAAAGATAGCAAAATGAATCCGGCCCATACTTGGGCCATGTGCTTGTTTTCTTCTGGCCCTAGTATATGCCCGGTTCTATGGCCCAAATCTGGCCTATATGCAGCCTGATTTTTAGATGCTACTTCCACATCTGGAGCATTCTGGCACACACAGAAAATCTTCCTGCATTTCAGCCAATACCAGAGGATAACATCTGCCCAGATGTGGAACCAGGTTGGGCCAGAAGTTTAATTCTGAATCTGCAATAACCCCAACAGCCATACATTCATATATAAATAATGCACAGGTTTTGTGGACTGCACTTATAAAGCGCTTTCCTAGTCTTATCGACCACTCAAAGCGCTTTACAATGGAAACCACATTCACACACATTCATACAGCACTGCTCTACCATACACACGCAATTTGGGGTTTAGTATCTTGCCCAAGGATACTTCAAAATTCAGCTTGCAGGAGCCAGGTATCAATCCACCAACCTTGCAATTAGTGGATGATCCACTCTTATTCCTGAGCCACAGCCACCCCTTTGTATACTAATATATTTGATGGTTTTTAGAGTTTGGCTGAGATCTAGTAAATAGTACTATAAATTTCATTCATTGTCATCTTGATTAGGCCAAAATACCCTCACAAGGTTGCACAACTTTAAGAAAACCCTTTTATTAAGACCAGTTGCCAGTGTCCAGTTGACTTCATGATTAAAGTGGAAATAATTTTTTGATCGCTGAGGAGCAGCAGAACAAGCTGACATTTTATCTTATAAAGTTGATATAGCCAACATGTTAGCCAACAGTTGCGTATTTACACGTCCAGCAGCACAGTGCACACAGCAGATAGCACTGCGGCTTCCTGATATTGTATTTGGGTCATCCAGCAGCATTTGAAGTTTAGTTTGTGTCTAGCTGGCAAATGTTAGGCCAATATTTACTTTTTGTCTTTTTTCTCCACCAGCTCATGAGAACAACACAACCTGCCAAATGCTCCACTATGTTCATTAGCCAGATGCAAACTTTGTCTGTCTGCTGTAGTTTACAGTGTGTTTATCAGAGACTTTTCATTGAAAACAGCTGCCAGCCGCTGCTGGAAATAAGGTCTGTGAAAGTGGTAAGAGAGGCTGTAAAAAAACAGCAAAGGCTGCAAAGATGCTAAAATGCTTTGTAGAGTCAGGTGGTTCTGTCTGGGATCGTCACTACCAGCCAAAACTGATGTTATACATAGTTATTTATCCATAGTCTATATGAAAGGATTGACAGCTCCTTTAAAGTTAGATTATTATTTATTTAAAAGTAAATGTAGTCATTTAAGTTATAGGATGAGGTGAAGCAAGAGGGATAGAATTAAGGCTTGGGTAGTTGAAGGTTAGAATCTGGCATGATAAGTATTATTGGGATGATACAAGGAATGGAATGTCTTTATTAATATTAAATGGATTTACAGTTGGTCCATTAGAGGAAACACAGATGAAGGCTGATTACATTCGGCAGAGGACAAGACTGAGTGGAATCTGTAACAAGACCCCAGGGTTCACTTATTTATGTCATCCCAGAGGGAAGGTGTGACAAAGAAAAATGTAACTGACTCAGAGACAAAGTAATGGAAACATACTAATGGAAATAGCTTGTGGTTTTTTTTCTCCAGGAAATTCTCATCAGGATCAGGATGAGTTGAAGTTTGGTCTAATCATGTTTTTCTCTGCAGGCTGACACATGCTCTGACTCTCTCATCTTGCGTTCACCCAGAAACACCACATCACCTGCTGACAGACACATGAGCAATTACAGCAGGAGAGAGCTAGTACAGTGTGTCGCATGGTGTGTTTGTTTTTTTTTGTTGACCACAAGAGAGTCTTTACATTCCTGGTTTGGTGTGGACATCAGGTCACTCCAAGTTAAGAGTAAAAAGTTCTTTTTGGAATTTATTAAGTCTAAATCATCTGATTTGTCACTTGAGTGCGACTGAAGTCCACATCTCTGTTGTGTTGATGTCCACTGGAGAACTGGTTGTTCATTATAGTGACCTTGCCTGTTTTGAGGCTTTGAATTGCTACCCACATCTCCATTTTTTTCAGATATATACTGTAGTTCTGGTGACATGTCCACTGGTGGCTGTTTCTCCCGGTTGTCCAAATAAAGCACAACCTACCAAGCATCAACCTCCAGAGCTGAAAAATTAAGTCAACAATGAAGTGCCAAAAACTGCAGTTCCTCTAATGACCACCAGAGTCTGGCTCCAACAGTGAGTCAGTCCCCATAGACTCCCATGTTAAAATGTTCAAATTTACAGCAGAAATAAACGTGTTTACAGCCTGGTACAAAAACAGTTTTGCTCTCTAGAGCTAATTCCCTCCTTCATGACACCTGTTTATATAACTCACCTGTTTACATTTTTTTAACGATTAAAGTTATGCTGAATGAGTGTGTGTTGTTTGCGCTTAAATCTTGTCTCCACACATGCCCCTCCTCTTTGCTCATTTTTAGATTAGCTGGGAGTTAGGGACACTGCCAAGATGGGAAAGGTGGAGCAGTTCACTCTGAGCTTCAATACCACTCTTCAGAAACCTGTGGGTGATGTCACAGAGGCTACGTACATCCTTATATACAGTCTGTGGTTTCCATACAAGATTTCTAAGCAATTTTTTCTCAGCTTCTGCACGTCAAACAGGAACTCTTCTGGAATTTCCAGGCAAATTCTAACCATTTTGATTTTAGTTAACCTTTCCTCTGGCACCCCCCCCCAAAACAAAGCAGCCCCACCACAGGCAAGGCTCTAATAGCAGTTGAATCAATCTGTGCGTAATGAACCTTGCAGCTTCCAGGTCTGTCTGGTTTGGTTTTGGGTGTTAAATCTTGTTACATAAATGTCTCAGTGCACCTCCTGTGCAACAAGACTCCAGTAAGTATGACCTGACTCCACCAAACCCCGACCCACCCTGATAAAGCATTCCTGCACAGCACCACTTCATGTTCCTCTCCTTCCTCCATCATCTATTCCTCCATTCCCATGGCCCTTCCATCTCCCACCCACTTTTTACTCGCCTTTAACCCGTTTGCATTCCAGATTAGGGAGCCTTTCTTTCCCTTTCTCTCTTGTGACCCCTTCACCTTGTGAATACAATACTCTGACTTGTTAATGAAGGGATGGGAAGGAGGTGTGAGGGGAGGGGGCTCTTCCGGTTTCCATCACGGCAAATCCTCATCCAATTGGGCTCCTGGATGTCTGCATGAGGGCCAATACTTGTACGTATTGTCTTTTCCTCTCCCTCTACATGCCTTTATGGTCAAAACAGGAACACAGCAGAGCCAGAACAAAGGACCACAAGGTGGGGGGTGGTGGGTGGGGGGATAAGGGAAGATAGTATGCTGCTGTCGTATGAACTGAGTAATAGCACAAATGGGATGATGCTTCAGAGTCTTGGAAAACCATCTGCTCAGCAGGAAGATGATAGCATCAAAGTGTTGGCTGGAAGGTGGAGGTATGAGAGCTGAGGGCGGGTGAGCGGAGGCCTTGCACCTATTGTATTCTCTTGCCTTTCAGTGTGATGGCAGTTTTATGAAGGTATTGTGTTGCAGTATCTTGGGTAAACTTGACCTTGGACGTGGATTCTTGGCCTGAACAGCTGTGTTGACAGGCAGGGCTGGTGGAAAATACCTGTCCTGCTCAAATTCATTACATCTTGTTTTAATCTCAAGAACAATACAGTTTGTATTGTAAATCGCTTTAGCAGTGTCCTCACAGTTTGTCACAAGGGCTCTTATTAAAGGTGGATATTAGGGTTGAATGTTTGTGTGCTGCTTTTTCTTGTGGGACTGTATCAGTAGACTGGGATTTCTGGCTGTATCTTAAAGGAATAGTTCAATATTTTACATGAAAAACTAATGTTTTGTCCTGGGATTCATGCTAGAACAAAGTACTTGCCCAAAATGAAAAGAGTTCATCCTCTGGGGATCATGACGGTGTTCGGGATATATCAAAGCCATCTACTCATTAGACTTTCTTGTCTACAAAAAGACATTTTAACCTGATGAAAAGAACCAAGTTCAAGGGGGTCAACAAAAACATTAGCTTTAATCCTCTGGGGACCATGATATCCAAAGCTAATCTTCAATCTCAACAGCAGTAGACAAGATATCCTGCCGTGATTAAGCAAGTCTTAGACAGATGAGCCAACCAGCTGACCGGTGCCATCACTCATCCACACTTGGCAAGACAAAGTTCACCCAATTGCATAACAGTTGAGACAAATTGTGTGTAAAAGCTGAACATGTCCAGTCGCACCAAGGCAACTGAGGCCCCCCCCCCCCCCCCCCCCCCCACACACACACACTCTTGTCCTTCCACCTTCTGTATGCACCATTTTGCCCCCCAGCACAGTGCACACAGCAGATAACACAAGCATGCAGTGAACTTGGGTCTTTTGGGTGCCTTGGGGCTGTTAAGGCAGTTTGCTCAGTGGGTATCCAGCCTTCTCTCACATTGATCTCATTGGGATTGTGGGACTGCTCAGGGACAGATATTCAAGTGATGGACACCATTAACCACAGAGAATAAACCCTGTAATGAATGGGCCTCATCCTCACTATTCCGGAGTCATTTTGGGCTTCATGAAATATATTCATTAATTCACTGAGTAATGCAGGCAAAGGGTAATGCAGCCAAAGCCGTTTAGCTTTTAAAATGAGGTGTAACAGCACTGTTCCCTTATCGTTGAGAAGCCTGCACACATACAGTGTGTGGGAAAACCCATTTGGTCAGCTCAGGGTGTATGAGGTCACATGTTGATGTGTT